ATATGGCGTTGCTGACACCACTGCGCATCCGCGCTCGACCACTTCCTTTGTCAACGGCGTTTGGGCGGCAAACGGACGGTAATTTTGATTTGACACTTGTTTTTGTGTTTTTGAGGGGCGTTTAGGAGAAATCGTTTTTATGAATATTTCGTGATACCTCATATACCTTTGTTTGCTGAAAGAAGAACTCCTGGCTCCGGAATAACACCTTATTTGGCCCTTCATTCAGCATGATGCCGTCCCTCCAGCTCGTTTGACATGTGCTTTACGGCGCGTGCGAGATGGCGGGAGCGGATGGGGTCAATTGAAACGCTTCTCTGAGGGTCAGTTGAAACAGGGCCACAGGCCGTTTCAATGGACCCCGGTGACCTTTGCAATGGTTATTGTTCAGGGGCTGTAAACATTAAAGGAAATAGTCCACCTCTGAAATGAGCTTTTAAACTGAAATAGTAGTTTAATAGAGCTCAATTTTTGACCCCTTTTTCTCCAGCCTTTTGCTTGAAAGCACACTATAGCCTGAGATATTTCTCATTTTCCTCATCCGCCCATTTTACCATAGTCTATGTACTTTATGTCACCTATTATGAGGAACTTTGCACTTTTAGCTTTCCAACGACCTATTGAATGTAGCATTTGGAAAAGTAAACCGGACAAAATATCTCCTTAAGAAAGTGGCCTTAAAGAGGAAAACATCCCATTGTTAAGGATAGGTGCAATTGACCCCATGGGCTGGTTCAATTGACCCTCGCATCGGGGTCATTTGAAACGGGCGTAGAGCTGTTTTATAAGCATGCGTTTGGCAGCAAAATATGTTTGAAACATAATTTTACATATCTTAAAATAAAGCCAAAAGAGCATATTTTTTCATGGCATTGTGCATTTTTCGATATGACTACTAGATCTCGCTGTGGATGTCAATATATAAAAAGTGGTTCAACTGGCCCCGCTCTCCCTACATTAGGTATAAGTCAATGGGAGAAAATTGAAATGCACCTTTTTTGGACGAATTTCGTTCTACACCCTCTCAAACATCGGTTCATAGGTAAACATGACACACTGAATCGGAAAATTGCACCTGTGATTCCTGTGTGTGCCCCTGAGGTCATTTTAGGACATAAACGGTCTTCAGCAGTTCTTTGACTTTTGACAGAGACGTGCTAGAGCGGCGAAAACACCGTTGATCTGAGGTCAAATTTGAGGTCAATCATAGCGGTGCCCTCTGGGGGCTAAACCTTTGATCTGAGGTCAAATTTGAGGGCATGCTGGCGAAAGAGCGTTAAAAGAGCTATCGAATGCGCTTTTCCGCGGCGCTGTAGCTCTATTGGTTCCCGAGTTAGCCGTCGGTTGTTCCAAATCGTTGAAATCAACAAAATTTGACCTTTGATGAACCCTGGTGACCTGACCTTTGCCCTGACCTTAAAATGACCGAGTGTTTTCCTCCCTATTTTTGACGCTCTTTCGATTGTTGCTTACCGCGTGTCGCTACGTGGCCCAGGAGCCGAGTTGACGGAGGGGCGTGAAACGCCCCCCCCCCCCAGCACTCGATGGAAAGTTCATGCCACCAAAACGGCGCGGGTTAATTGTTATGTTAGCTAGCTCCTGTTGTAAGCTGTGGAGTCGTAAACCTCATCTTGAAGGAACTGGGCCTAACATTTTCATAGCAAACGTCAAAAAATGTTAAATAGGTTGCGCAAAAAATAGCATCTCTTTTATGAAACATTTGCGAAACCTTCAACAGTCATCCCCAGACCCCATTAGTGCCGAGCTCCCAACGACGACCATAAAAGCGTCCCCATCCCGTCATAGGCGGCGGAACGGGGAGGGCACCGTGCCTCCTTTGATTTTGGCATTTCAACATTAGCCCTATGGGCGTTGCATGGAAATAATAGGACCAAAAGTCGGCAGTGCCCCCCCCCCTTAATTGTAGGTGTTCCGCCGCTACTGCATCCCGTCAACGTGGGTTTATCATAAGGATGCTAAGATTTAATTTCCCATCCGAAGCTGCAATGATGGAAAGCAAATTTACATTTTACATGTGAAACAAGCTGACACAACTAGATATTTCCTCTCTCGATCCCTCTCACTGATTTACCCATTGCCCTCTTTCTCATTTTACCCTCTCTGGTTTTCCTTTTCAGTTTTTTTTTCTCTCTCTCTCTCTCTCTCGCTCTCTCTCTCGCTCTCGCTCTCGCTCTCTCTCTCTCTCTCTTGCTCTCTCTCTCTCTCTCTCTTTCTCTCTCTCTCGCTCTCTCTCTTGCTCTCTCTCTCGCTCTCTCTCTCTCTCTCTCTCTCTCTCTCTCTCTCTCTCTTGCTCTCTCCCTCTCTCGCTCTATCTCCCTCTCTCTCTCGCTCTTTCTTTCTCTCTCTCTCTCTCTTTCTCTTTCTCTTTCTCTTTCTCTTTCTCTCTCTCTTTCTCTCTCTCCCTCTCTCTCCTCTCTCTCTTTCTCCCTCTCTCTCTCTCTCTCTCTCTCTCTCTCTCTCTCTCTCTCTCTCTCTCTCTCTCTCTCTTTCCTCACAATATTCTCGACTGTCACAGCGTTGTAGAGTTTGTTTCCAGACAGGTCCCGGCGCTCCCCACTCCGCAGGCCTCAGCCCACACGGCCCAACCGCTCAAACACCCTCCGGCGGATGACCTCTGACCTCGGCGACCTGACCCCAGCCGACCGATCGCGTCCCTCTCCACGCCTCCGCCCCGCTTCCCCCACTACAGCTGCGTAGTAATTGTAGCGTGTGCAAAGGTCACGTGACCTTATTTACTTCTGCGGCTTGTTCGGCTGACAAGAGATGGCACTAGTGGTCTGTGGATCAGAGGCGGGGCTAGGTTCTACGACTTCTTGGGGCACACTTTACGGCAGAAAAGAGGTTTTTTGGCTCCCCATCCCAAAATGCTTCGAATATACAAAAACAAGTTAGATATTCGAAAATCGGAGGACCAAACGGTTCGTTTGACGTATCTCGCGCGACTGAGAATTGATCGGTCTTCAAACTTCTGAACAAAAACGAGGTGATTAGTAGCAAGTGCTGGTGACTGTACCTGTACAGCCCGAACTCTGTCGCCACAGTGGTTTTCTCCTGATCACTCTCTGCCACCGGCAGTTGGTGATACGCTTGCACCAGATCAAGATGTGTTTGAGTGGATAATATAGAGGCTCGCTACCAGAACCAAAGAATGTGAAATGTATCAAGCTGAATCAGCAGTAAACACGCGTGTCCAGAGATCCAAAGAAGAAAACCCTTTACAACACACAGCGCCGCTCAGCTTTTGGAGACTCGAATCCATCCTGGGAATCACCTGTACAGAGGGGACCGTGACTTGGTTCACCCTACGAAAATCCCCGCACACCCTGACCGGTCCTCCGTGGGGGCGCTTAACAATCACCAGAGGACTAGCCCAACGAGATGATTCTACCTCTTCCAGCACACCAGCTTTTCCTCACTCCACTTCTTCAGTCCACCAAAAATGCGGTAGTCCTCCAACCACACCACCCATTCTTTGGCGCTTGTGCCACTGAACTTTTCGAGTCCAATATCTTTCTCAGCCATTATCTAGTCCGTTACTTCACTTAGATCAAACAATCAATCAAAAACACCGCACCAGAGATCCCACCGCTGCCACCATTGTAAAGGGTTTTCTTCTTTGGATCTCTGGACACGCGTGTTTACTGCTGATTCAGCTTGATACATTTCACATTCTTTGGTTCTGGTAGCGAGCCTCTATATTATCCACTCAAACACATCGCCAATCCCATCCTCTTTACGACCCCCGCGTCCTTCAACAACCCACGCTACGACAGTTCTGCCGCAGCCGCGCCATTCACCCTGGCGGGACAGGTAAGTCGCCGCAACCAAATTATACACGCAACCAAATTATACAACTCGCTACACTATAAAGAATGTGATTTTAATTCTTATTTATACTTCCACGACATGTCAAGAAAAGGATTCGACAAATCAAAATAATTCAACGGAACTGGCGAAAGCGCAAACTGCATTAGTCTTCAATGAAACGAACGTACAAGTAATATCAAATTAGGTATGAGCGTTTTTTGTTTGCATTTCTCAGAAGAAAAATAAGTATTGATTGAAACAGCACAATGTAAACGACATAGATGTAAAAAGGGGGTTTGAAAGACGTAAAAAAGGAAAAGAAAACATTCTGAAAATTGATATATTGTGTTGAAGTTCAAATAGTTTATTCAGCTTGTCTACGCGTAAAAATGTCATTTAAAAAGTATATTGACATGCAAAATAAATGTAATCCCTAATCGTTATCCACCTTCAGTACCTACGTAATATTAGCCAGACGTAAAGCTTTTCAAACGAGCTGCTCAGCCTTCTTTGAAATTCATTTGTCCTTCCAACGCTTAAGCTTCGTCTTAGTAAAATAAGCTGAAACAGAAACAAAGCGGTGGGATTTCTCCCTCCTTTGCTTGACCCTCACGACCCCGGATTGACCACAAACTGATGAAACAGACCGGAGCCCATATTTTATTCCACATCACTGGTCACCCAGGGCAACAGTTTCTCCGAATGGCTATATTTATTCCCAGACGTGGTGATGCTTCGCATTTTGATCCAACGCAGAGAGATTGCTGAATCTAGCCGACTGAAGTGTTTGCCAAAACAGTGTTCCATTTGCTGCGTTGTCAAGGACGATTTTATGTGTCTGAGGTTCCTGATCCTGTTTTGAATAGAAACAGTCGTGCGGGAGCCGGGACCACTGCATATTACATGTGCATTTTTAGTAGAATAGTGGTGTCTATTTTAACCGAAATTGGTCGAGATATGGTCAAACGGTGTCATTGATTTTTGAGCCGTGATTTATTACATTAGCTCATTAACTACGTCTACAATGTGCATTTAGCTTGTCGCTTGCGTTGTGTGTTTCTTTTTAAAGTGAAAGACAGGTGCGCGCTTTAGCTTTTAGTACTTTCCACATTGCATCGCACACGCGATGCACAAAATATGTACGATATTGAGAATGTCGTTTGTTTTCGCAGGGGACAAAATGGCTGCCATTCAGAGGAAGAGCTGCGCGACCGCCGAGGCCAGCGGACGCTACACGGGGCCTCTCAACATGGCGGCGATAGCTGTCTGTCTTCTGGCTCTGCCTGCCAGGTGACACGACTAAGGTCAGTAAAATGATCACCTTAGTCAGCCTATATGGAACAGGCTCAACTATATCATCAACGCCATTGGCTCGCCAACGCCATTGATACCAATGGCTCCTGTCCTCAACTATATCATTATCATCAACGCCTGTTCTCAACTATCCGTCAAATGCAGCAGAAAAACTACCTGGGGGTGGCAACCCCCCCCCCATGTGCAGGCGAGGGTGGCAACCCCCCCCCTATATCCGGGTGAGGGTTAAACAGATTCTTTAATTTCCAAAAGCTCCTATAGGAGCTTTTGGAAATCTAAGGACTATAGTCCTTAGATTTCTCTTGTGGTTTGTTGTGCAGTTTACAGCAAACTGTTCTGCCTAATAAAAGTTGAGTTCTGTTTCTATGCGAGGAAAGCTTCAAAATTTCATCAGTTTCGGGTGGTTTGGTAGGGGAAGCCCCCTAAATGCCCCCCCCCTTGCATCCGTCAGTGGTTATTGCTATACTTTGGCATTTAGGGTGTGGACTGTGGACCTCATGCTCTGTAAACTGTTATCAGGTTCCTGATGAAACCAAATCAGAATTGAGAATATTCATAACGGGCTTGATATCGCGTAATTATATTGTTTTCCTACAATGACCGATTTAACCACCATTGCATGTTTCAGTACAATGGCAGACTGGGCACATGATCAGTTCCGTGGTGTGGAGTGACGTCACACCCATTACGTCACTGAGCTGACGTCAGAGGACTTATTCGGCTCCTGCAGAGAGGGAGGGTGTATGAAGGAGATGGTGGTTGTGACGCGCTCGCCCGGCCCGTGAGGACAGCTCAGCGAACACCCGAGCGCTGTGCACGAGTGACCCATGGATACGCGGGTCGTGTTGTCATTGTGTTTACCTCTCTGTGAACCTATTCCCTACGGGAAGTGTGCGAACACGGCCAGACGCTCTCAGCTGAGGTGCAATTAATGGCGGCGCTGGTTCAGGGTCCGGAGATAGGGATGATGTGTTCGACGGTCAAGACTGACCTTCACTGAGGTACCTGGGTAGTGGGTACTGTTAGAGAGCGAGCAGTGACGCTCAGTGATCAGCCCCATTACAGCCCAGAGACCCTACAGGATCGGCTGGACGAGGCGCGGACAATAAACAGCTCCTCAGGTGTGACATGTTGGTTTGACTCTGCTGTGTGCCAGAGCTCTGCTGGTAACGTGTTTTCCATTGTTGGTGCGCGCTGAGAGCGCTCAGCGCTGCTGGATGTCATCACTTTATCCGTGGATCGGCAGATTTCGGTCCATCTTGTATGATCATCTGTGTATGAGTGACCGATCCGTGCGCCAGGAATCGTTATGGGTAATGACATGCCAACTGCAGTGTTATATATAAGCGTGTGTTCGCAGGCATGGATCAGCTATGAAAGGTGAACAGTTTCGAGAATATTTGACGAGGCATAGCCTCACATGAAAAGAGCTCGATTTGTCACTCCGTATGGAATGCGTGATTATTGTAACATAAAGCTGTTTAATAATTGAGGTTATTGCGTATACCTACATATTTGTATCGTATGTGAATGATTGTTGCGCTTTTGAAATGTTGTCAACTTTTGTTGTTTCTGTTTCAGATGTTCGTAATTAACTTTCAACGTTTTTGTTGGTTATGGAATGAAGTTTGTTATCGGAAGTGAACTAATTATTTGTTATAGCTTATCGTTTTGTGCAAGTTTTGCGAAAAAGGAGCGCATAACTATGTTCGTCGTCGGCGTATGTTGGTGCGTGGTTGTCATGTTTGTCAGCAATATGTATTTATGCGAGATTCCGATTGAGTTTACTACGCGTAGAAATGCTACGGGCTGCTCTTTTCAACGACCTCAAAATCCGTTCATCAGATAACCTCCACAGTCCACTGGCATTTACAATTACTGTGCCGTCAGTAAACAGCTAATAAGCCATTCTTTTGTGAGTCATGCTTGCTGCAACACTCGGTATACACCATTTGTTGCTATCTCGCATCATAAAGCTGCCGCCTGCGACCTGTACCTACCCGGTCGCCATCACCGAGCTGAGATCGGCCAGCTGGGCCCGATGAAGCGGGGGCCGTCCATCTCATGGCCAAGACCCATCGTCACCATCGAGCTAGTTTGCTCTCAGCGCCGCGGTATCGAGCGGCTCATGACCGCGTAGCTGCTAACTGCCCGGCTGACGACAGCCCCTCGTGGCACTGAGCGCGAGCCGAGGCCGCCCGGGAGACTGCGAAGGGGATATTTAATGGGCCAGTTGAGGGATTTTTGATGGTATTGTAATATGTCATAAAATGGTTATGAGCGATACACGGGAATCGAACGATAGCACGCTTTGAAGGAAACTATCGAAAGCGATAATGCTTAAGAAGAAGGCGATGCGTATATCTTCTTGTTTTGCTTGTTGCTCTGACCTTGGCTGAATTAAATTTCATTATAACTTTCATTTTGCAGTTACTTGACGTGCCCACTGCTGGTCCAAGGGTTCCTCTTGAATGGCTGAAGATATTTCGATGAACCTCCTTCAGGTTTCGTCATACGAAACGTCAGTTTGATTTACGAGGATGGCATCTTTTTACCACCATGGATCGTCTCATGGCGACATAAAGCGCGAGGCAACGTTCTAAAATGAGTCATAACTTATATCTATTTTCCCATAAACATTGATCAAATTAGCTGATGTGACTGAACGATGTCATTTTATTCCAATCAAGTCTGATGTTTCTGAGGCAGCAATCAAATTGTATGCCAATATTATGCACCAATCAAACAATTTTCTAAATAGATACGGTATACGGGAGGATAATGTTTGCTCGACTTAACAATCGCTCAAATAGTAGTCGGCGAATAGATGTAGCTGAAACATAGTGTTTCGCAATGCCATATTTGATTATCGCTCAGTATGATAATCGCTAAAATGCCAGACGATGAAAATGGTTCATTCAAATGACAGTTGCTGAAGTCGCTCGCACCCAATTGGTCAGGTATAGGTAGCTTTTACTCCGTTCACCGTTGTGTAGTTTTTTGTGGGCACTATCTCTTTTTAGATGCAACAACACTTTTAGAAATAGTGATTCTTAATTCATAATTGAAAAGATGGAAGATGCTCGACATCAGCCACTTTACGCTAAAAACTTTTCTTCTCGCGAGCAATGGCCATTGACCACCGAAGGGTAGGTAATTGTCCATGGCAAGTAGGAACCTACCTACAACCTACCTAGGAGTTTTGGCACTGATAAACTGACGAAAGGCCTGTTTAACCCTCGCATGTGTGCGGCGTTTGCCAGCTTCTAATGTGTAGGGGGGGGGGGGTCGGTTGGACCCCCCCCTTGCCGTTTGGCCCCTGATCGAGTTAGAGCTTCGCAGAAAAAACGAGCGTGTTGCCCGTGATGAGAGGAAGCCGATGATACCCAATTTTAAGGTCCTAGGTCATTGGTTGACCTTGCAGTTCAGGTCAATGACCCAAAGTCGGGAAAATCGGGACCTGTTAGAAAGTCGTTAAGTGTGGCTTCTAAAGGGTTTTTCGGGGTGCTGATCACGAATATCGTGTTAGTTTTGATCACAGATGATGTCATTAACCCGCGCCGGGCCGGGGGGGGAGGTGTTTGAACACCCCATTGCGGTTTTTGGCACACCTGTTCGTGCATCTTTTCCGCACATGTTGTGAAAATTTCAGACCCAGGTCACCTTAGGTCAGGTCACCAGGTCACGCCAAGTGACCTCACCTCAGAAAAAATAAGAATGCTCGTCATAGCTACACCGACTGAACGATTGCCTTGAAACTTTCAGCGATTGATTAGAGCAACAATATCTATAAAATGTTTATCTCGGAATTTTGATATCGGTGACCTAAGGTCAGGTCAATTTTGCGGCCTCTCCATTGTAAGTCAATGGGAGAAAATTGAAAAGCGTCTGTTTTGCACGAACGCTATTCTAGACACTCTCAAGCATCGAGATGTAGGTAAAATAGACACACTGAACCAGAAAATGGCAACTGTGACCCCTCGTTATGTCCCCAAGGTCATCTCAGGTCACGAACAGAATCTAACAGTTTTTGCTATGATAACTTCTGATAGAGGCGGGCTAGAGCGCTGAAAACGCCTTAGATGTGTTCGGCTCGACGTTGCGGATCGACTGATATGCAACATGACCTTTTCCGGTCAGGTGATGACCTTGACCTGAGGTCAAATTTTCAAGTTGACCTTTCAAGGTCAAATTATAGTTCATTCGACGCGTCTCGACGAGAGGAACACGATGCTGGCAAAAGTAATGTCATAGCTCTTTTGAGTGAAAAGTTATTGCCGAAAAAAACGTTTTTCGTAAAAATGGTTATTTTTGGAGTTTTTTGCCCTCTGGAGGCTAAACCGTTGACCTGAGGTCAAATCTGAGAACATTACTCAGAAAGGTCTGTAAAAGGGCTATCGAATGCGCTTTTTTGCGGCGCTGTAGCTCTATCGGTTCCCGAGATAGCCGTTGGCAGTTTCCAAAATGTTGAAATAGTCAACATATTTCCTTTGGTGACCTCTGGTGACCTGACCTTTGACCTGACCCAAAAAATGACCGAAGTGTTTTCGTCCTTATTTTTGACGTTCTTTCGATTGCCACTTACCACGTGTCGCTAAGTGGCCCAGGAGCCGAGTTAGAAGGGGGGGGGTGTTCAGACACCCCCCCCCCCGCGGCCCGGCGCGGAATCTCAGAGCACCTCTGAATCTCAGGCGCGGGTTAAGCATTTTGACCAGGTCGGGTCAGGTCAGGTCAGGTCAACCAGTAGGCATCGTGACGGGTATTCGTAGTACGTGTCATCCACCTCTGACAGCTTCGTAACATGTTACGAAGTCACCAAAACTACTCCGTAAATGTTCAAATGGTTGCTAAATTCGAATTCAGCTCCAAAAACTAGCATGTAAAACTCACTAAACTAACATGTAAAACTCGAAAAGTGAACCGAGGTCACCAAAGGTCAATGACCTGACCTGACCTTCAGGTGACCTTGACACCCACCCTAATGCATGGGAGTAACATCAAATCAGATGTTTGAGCGTTTGAAACCATGAAAAGCTTGCAAACGCGCGGCTAATGCGAGCCGACATACGCGGAATCGCGATTCCGGCCAAACATGGTCTCGGAAAAGAGGTCACAGGTCAAAGGTCATTGGGGTCAGGGTCATGAAATTTTCAGGGTATGTGTAAAATTAATCAATGCGAGGGTACTGAAAGTTTCGTCGCGATCGGCCGCTTTTTACGCGAGTTATTCGCGATTTCGTCGGAGCCGATCAGCCTCTGTAAGCCGTCTCCCGTCGGCGGCTGCAGTATACGCGCGACATCTAGTGTCCAGCGGCACAATGTCCAGTTCGCCGGGAGCGAGAGGCAGGGCGCTGCAAGACAGGCACACACAATGATTGAGGCATGGGTTTTGGGCAAGGTAAATTTTTGGGTAACGTTCGTCAATCGGCAATCGCGATGCGTTTCCGTGTGTGTTGTGTGCTTATGAGGTGTCTCTCGCTTATGAGGTTAATTATGGCCAGAATGGTAAGTGGTAGGCGGTAGCTCACCGATCGTTTGTTATGCTAATTTGTTGTCGAAGAAGCATCCAGCACAGTTGAGACCGCCAATGGAGGATACAGTAGACAGGTGGTCGGTCCTCATGAAATCCCTTCTGTGGTCTGCACTGCACACGTGTCATGCATCTTGCATGTTTTACATTTGGCGCCTGAACTGTTAACATATGTAGTTGGCGTATGTGTGAGAGCATTTGGTAAAAGGTAACCGACGCAACCGGTGATACCGAAAGTAAAGTGGAACGCGACTATCCTGTATTGCAGTCGTGTAAACAGAGCGGAACAGAGAACAGACTCTACTCTCTTTGATTCTACCCACGCCTAGAGCTGTTCAATTTTCATTAAAGGGACCCTCCCACCTTCAAAAAAGTTTGTGAATTGGCATGAAAGTGATGTCGCTCGGTTCAGAAAGAGCGAAAACGAATATCTACCAAATTTCGCCGAAACATATTCACCGGTTTTCAAGATATTTTCTTACTTTTGTAAGAGAATATCTTGACAAGACAATAATATCTTGAATATCTTGTCAATATCTTGACAAGACTCTTACTTTTGTTTACTTTTGGGATCTCCGCTGTTCCTAGCGACTTTATTTGGAAGCAATAGTTTGGCAGCTGAAAGTGTGGCACTTGTTGCGCGCAAAGCAGCATATACCACCGCGTGCTACAAAACGTTTTAGTCAAACATTAAAAAATCGTTAGATATCTGCGCTGACGTCACACATTCAGAGGGGTACCTATTCCTATGCATTATCCCCTCTGAATCAAAATGCTGCAATTTTGAAATTCAATATTTCCGATTTAAAAGTAGTGTGCCACCTTTGAAAGATTTCCCATTTTATTTTTCCTAGGATAAGAAGCTTCTGTTTTTACCTAATATCGCAAAAAAAATCAAAAATGGGCCTGGAATAGTGCCTTTTTCGCCTAAAAGTTTATCGGTTTTTCGATATGTATATTGTATAACAAATGTAGTGGGCTGACCTGCAAACAGGCGTCGGCAACAATCGCGAATGCGGCGCACATGTGACAATAAGCAAAGGTCATTATACAGTTACGACGTACGGGAATGAGTTACCAGCTGTCTAATCGTAGATAACACGATGTCGAGCCTTAAACTGTAAGCCTGTATTGGTATTGTTTCTTTTATTTGGCTGTCGAACATTATTTATGGTTTGAAATATGATTTTATGTAAAATAATTGATATGAAAAAGCCGTCTCTTAAGTTATGACCCCATTTCACCACACGCAAGTGGCAGAAATGACAATGATCAGCTGACGCATTTTTCTTGGCCGAAGTCAGAGCGCGCGGCCCGATGCACCACCACCGCACCACAAAGTATGAGCAGAAGCCGCGCCTAAAGCCAGGGCCCCGGTAACGTGAGGTAGCCGAGTCGGGGCTGCGTGCGCTGACCACCCAAGCCGGGGCCCGCAGCTTTGGGCGCGGTCTACCGCATCCCCGCGGGCAGCCCCGGGCTATCACATGACACCGGGAGGACGCGCGGCCCCGGCTTGGGTCAGCGCACGCTGCCCCGACTCGGCTACCTCACGTTACCGGGGCCCTGGCTTTGGGCGCGGTCTACCGCACCACCTAACAGGCGTGTTCGAAACCGCAGGAGATGATGATGAACGGGTTTATCGAAACTTGATTGGATGAGCATATCGGTAATAGCGATTTCAGTGTGTGCATTTATTGTTCATAGTGGTGTGAAATGTGGTTGGGGTACGACCGACAACCCGTCGGGACGAATTTCGCACTGGGGTACTCAAAATTTGAAGAATTTAAGACGTTTCCATGAGTTTTGAAGGTATTGATAAGTTCTAAAAATCCGGTTCTCCTTATCTGGGCCATTAACTCCATACGGTCCAGGAAAGCTGGCACACTACCTTTAAAGCATTTCTCGATGTTGTGAGTGCCGAAACCGGTAATTGTGAGCCAGGGACCCCATTTTGGCTATCTCAACTCAAATCTAATGTTAAGGTGGGAGGGTCCCTTTAATGAGCTTTCAGAAAGCCAGAAATAAGTTCAACGTTTCAAGCTATCGAAGGGATTAAGACAAGTTATATATAGGCAATCTCCGCATATTGCAGTTTTATTTGTACGTCAAGCTGCGTGGCTGAGTTTTAGCACACTTTTAGTCGAGTACCGTTTATTTACCACGCTGTATTTTGAAATTTGATGTAGGCTCAAAGCTTTCCATAGCTAAGACATGTATTGTCTGTCGTTTGAACGAGGACAGCGGTAGTACAGCGAAACAAGATCACCACTCGCGGCTCGCGCTACAAATTATTTCACTCTGTTTCAGCCTTACATCTTTCACGGATTTGAACAATTATATTTGTACAATAAACGAAAAGGCATCCTTATTGTGTATCAGGAACTAATTTCACATGCATCGTTTGTAGGCAGATTGGTGGCAGAACAAGTTGAAAATTGAAATGAAAATATCGAACAAACTTTCAATAGGTTTGCCGCGTCAATGCAATGCTCATACTAAGACTACAACACAATGCGTATATCCTGGCTAAAACACGCAATGTCATCAGTGATAAATGACCGTTGCTATGCCGGTAAAACGCATACAAATTAAAGCAGTGTTTCCTGAGTTCGTTACCGCTTGGCCTGAGTTTATGAGAATTCACGCACAAATAGCAGACTGGTTAAATACATGGACAACAGACAACTTTGTACAACGACACACCAAACCTTCACAAGCACACATTCAGAGCAATGGCGACCGTAAACGAGGATCTTACACCATTCTTCTGAGGATCGATTTGTGTCATTCGAAAAAAAACATATTTTTGCTTGAACCTTTTCCCTAGCTCGACACTGTCCTGTTGACATCTTGATCCGCGCATTTCCTCATCCAACCGTACAATCCCCGGCAGAATGCATCCGGCAGCCCAGCGACCTCGCCATCTCTGCAGCGTTGCGAGCGCAGGACCTGCCTTCAGCCCTGTTGTCGCCCGCGACTCACAGGCACCAGCTCTCCAGCAGAAGCTGGCAGCGCATCATGGGCGGCAGTTTGCTTTGGTAGCTCAGGATAGCTCTGACGCTGGCCTCTGTTGCCTCCTCTCCCACTTCTTCGACGTCTACCATCGGAGTGACCTCGTCGAAGCCAAGGAATCTCGTTATGCGCGTCCACAGGGACTCTGACGGCCTGTGTCGAAGCAAAAAGACCGTCCTCCAGCGGTAATTGAGCGCCCTCTGCAGCTCCCGTGACGAGAACAGTAGCTCCTCTTCGACAGGTGGCGGTGCGACATCTTCAGCGTCATCCTGGGAGGGATCCTGCTCTGCGGCGGTGGGTGCCAGCAGGGAATCCATCTGCTGAGCCCACCGACCGGGCCGGATGCGTCGCCGCGGGATCGGAGCCGTGGTTCCTGAGGGCGGCAGCGGCGGCGGAGTCGGATCGGCCAGCGGAGAGCGCGGAGGGAGCCCGCGGACGGGTCTCTGGAAGGGCTGCCGACCCTTCAGGATGACCGCAGCATGTCTGCCAAGCAGGGCATACCGGTAGTACTCCAGAGTGCGACCATATGGCGGTTCAGCGGGCGTGGCGGATGAACAGGCTTGCGCGGGCGGCTCCTCTCGCACGTTTACCGGCTGGTGGGCTTGTGCATTGTGCACTTCGTGTACTTGCGCCGCGACGACCTGCAGCAAACCGTTTGGTGGCTCGCCAGGCTGAACAGGATTCCTTCGACTTCCTGAGGGTGTTCCGCGCGGTGCAAAGTGGTGCTGCGGTTTTTGTTGAGACTCCTTGCTTTTCGGCAGGTGTGTCGGCGGAAACACCAGCATGTTGGTGTTTAGTCTTACCGGCTCCGGTATTCCACGAAAGAAGTTCAGTATCCTCCATCCCAGAGGATAAGGATACTTTGGTGGTTTTTTCTTCTCCGGTGCCTTCTGCTTCGGATCCTTTGGGGTTGTTGACTTGGAGCTTGAATCGCGCGATTTAGAGCTTGAAGCAGATTGCTTTGATTTCGAAGTGCGCGACTTGGAGCTCGACGCAGGCGAGGTTGAAGTTGAAGCCGGTGACTCGGACTCCCGAACAGGAAGCTCAGGTTTTCGCAGACAACGCTTGATGTGTCTCTTCACTTCCTGCACTTGGGTCCAGCTCATGCGCATGACATCCTGTTTGACGCAGCGCCGGTGCGTCTGCTCGCTCAGCCGCCGCCGGTTGTGGACGGCGTACGTCACCCGGGCGATGTTGCGGCACCGTAGCTGGGTGGCCAGCTCCCGGCGCCAGAGTTCGCTGAACGCCGACCCCTCCCAGACGGCGGCTTCCGGTCTGGAGAAATACTGCACCACCTGGTCTGCCAGCCGCCGGTCCAGCCGTCGGTACGAGAACGTCGGCAGCAGCGACCGCTCGTCGCAGCCCGCCAGCCCCGCTTCCAGCTCAGCATGCACCAGTGGGTGACGGGGACGAGCTCCCTGGTATGTTGAACTCGGCACTGCGGCACTCTCGATGTAGCGGGGACGCGCACCCTGGTAGGTAGGCACTGCGACGCTCCTAGCTGGTTGGCGTCGGCTTCTGGCTTCCCTGGTGATTTTGCCGTTCGGTGGGCTGCCCAGGAAGCTGATCAGGTGGCGGAGCAGACCCAGCGGTAGTCGGTTCTCCTCGGCGTCAGCCACCAGCCTGCAGGGGACCGGGGATAGTCAGGTCACAACGCCAGGATACGATGGAGTTGGGTGCAGTGTCTCAGCAGTCCACACCGATTACTAATATGTGTTCTACCGGTTGAGAGCTCATGGAAACAGTATGCAAACTCCCATCACGTTGGTAAAAACATAAAAATGACCTAAAATCAAATGAAATGTTCAGTGTTTGTATAGCAACTTTATAAGCGCATGAATTTCCATCCGCAAGCGTGAGCACTGAACAGGACACCTATTATTCCTGCGCGGTCATTCTAGCTTGTTCCTTACATGGCCACGTAGTTCCTGATTTCCTTTTGCATGTTTGCGGTCAGCATCTTCAATTGTCGGCTGGTCTTGACCAGCTGCGCCAGCGGTTCGCCTGGTGACACCACCAGGTGGGGCAGCACGTCCCAGACCAGACTGCCGTCGGCGTAGGTAGCTTTGCGGGCGTGCATGATGAGTTTGGAGATATCACCGGGAGTTCTCCACACGATGGACCCGGAGAGAGCGGCCAGCAGTCCACCGGAGCTCTGTGAACACGCCGAGCCGTGAGAAGCCGGTTCAGATCGACAATCACTAACAAACAACTCTTGAAGGACATTGCAGTACAATGAGCGCTGAGACCTTCCCACCTTCTCGCACCGACCTTCTCGCACGCAACTATCCTTAATGTCTTGCTGGAGCCTGGAACTTAGAAGCTAAGGTCTCTGAAGCTACAGACGTTGATGTTGTCTATCCTTGTCTTACGACACCGATTAACTCACCAGGGTCATGAACTCCACCAGAGTATGGATGTTGATCTCCTTGACCAGCAGCTCGGAGCCGAGCCCGGTGAACGATCTCGGAGGGCACGTGACGACCATCTCGGCGCATTGCTTGGGGATGAACAGCTCCGGCCGCTGCGGAAACAACAATGGGGTGAGTGAATGGAGATTCTTTGGCTCTATCCTGCGACAGATTTTTTATACGTTATTGCCCATTTCCGTGCACCTGTGGAAAGGATTCAACCCGCGACCTGCTGGGGAGCGGGGCTCGTTAAACTCCCACACAGTTCTCGCAGCGCTTTAGTTAAAAAGGCGCTCCAAATATCGGTTAGCTGTTGCTAAATGATTCAAGGCTATTATGCCAATGCTTAAAAAATCGACTAAAAACTTTTGAGTTATCAAGGTTTTAGTGGTGTCATGCTTTCTAAGATTTCGACTAAAATGGTACATGCTTGAAAAATCAATTAAAAAAAAAACTCAGGAAAGATATACCCACAAGCCGTAAACGTTATTGGAGTGTCAATACCCCGTAAAATCAAATTACTGCGTTCGATTTTTTATATGCTTCGCAAAGTTCGGCGATTTGTTTTGTAGTAGCTTGGAGTTCAAGTCATGATGCATCTATTTGTTAACCCTCGCCCGTAAACGGTGTTTTGCCACCTTCGCCCATGCCGGGGGGGGGGGGTTGGTGCGACCTCCCCCCTGACGTTTGAAAACGGAGCGTCGTAGAGCTTAGCGGAAAAGACCAACGGATTGCTTTCAACGAGATCTCGAGATTGGTGGTATATTTTTTGGTCATAGGTCAACACTTGACCTACTTATGACCGGTCAAAGGTCAAATTTTCGGAAAAATCTAACTTTTTCAGATTTCCGCGCCGATTGCGGCAAACCGGTAAAAGATATCGACTTGAAACCTTCACTATCGTGATCCTTGATCAATTCTCTATCGTTTGGTGTGTATTTCGATGTCACAACTCTAAAAATGATGCGTTGGGAGCATCGGAAGTCTGCAAGGTCATTTGTGCATTGGGTCACGTCAGGCGTGTGACGTCACTGACCTGACCCTGACCCAAAATGAACTACAAGAAACAACCGACGATGCCTGAAATGGATAGCAAATTCGAATTCAGGGCATCAAAATACCCCGAAAAGGCATACAAGTGCAAGAAGTCATTACAGGTCAACCGAGGTCACTGACCTTACCTTGACCTTTAGTAACCTTCAAAATGTCAACGGACATTTTGCCAATGTCAAATCAGCCAGTTGTGATTCTAAAACAATCCATCAGTGTGTCAGGTCAGTCGGCATTTATACCAATGTGAAGCAATCTCCAATTTAGCGTAAATCTGGCCGGAGGTTGTTCCCTTTATGACGTCATAACTCCGTGACCTGACATGACCTTGACAAAAAAATACCAAAAGTTGCGCAAAGGATGCCCCAGAGGGTACTGAAAATTTGAGCAGGCTAGTAGCGAGGGTTAACTTACTGGAACAACTATGAATTTGTATCAACAATTTACCCCGTGGTCTACTGCAATGTGCATTCAATATTGAATCTGTATCTTACGACTTGTTTCGTCTCCGATACGTCTCCGATATTTCCCTAAGCTTGTCAATAAGCTGGTAATGAGGAGCAGCCGCTCGCTGAAGTTGGACCCATCCCAGCGGACGACACTAGACACAGTCCATGTTTACGATCGAGTGTCCAGCTGTCGGCGGTAAACGGTCGTCTCGGCCTCGACTGTTTTCGCCTGATAAGTGGCGCCTCGAGTGTCGTGTCCACATCCGACCCGGCGGACTCCGAGGCACAAGTATGTCAAATGGTCAGATGCCGGCCACTGGCCTACTCTGCCTGGGTCTTGGGAGCAAACTGGACGGCGTGAGTCATGGAATGGGTGACTCACCAACTCGTGGACCTACTCATTACCAGCAAACCGGAAATTGTAGGTACAAACTAAAAGTACATATAATGCAATTATGATGACAGCTGTTATATTTTTGGTGTACGAGGTTGCTCAACGCTAATTTGTTCGTGCCAACTTATTAACATACAAAACTTTCAAGAAACAAAGGAAATAGAATATAATCAGCAAAGAACAGTGCACGATACAAATGTTTAGCGGTCCGCGATCCCCATATCAGCCTTATGATATGTCATCAAGACGAGCCAGAACTATATCGTACCGATAATTATGTTCGCAACAAGTTACAAGTTGCACACAACGGCACCAAAGCGAGCCATCCATTGTAGACGATAACGATAACGATTGGGGTCTGGAGATTTTCCAATCGATCCAATCGATAATCCAATCGCTATTCAATCGATAACGATTAGATTAGAGACGATAACATCATCGTTGATAGCGCAACTTCTAGTGTAGGGTTGAGTTAGAGTGCTCTAAGCACTCTAAGCACCGGCTCTGACATTTTACGAGTACATAGAATTCGCGGTAAGTTAAAACTTAGGTGATCATAACCAGTAAAACGCCTTTTGGGCGAAGCACGAGCGAGCGAGATAGTGAGCCCTGCACGTGCGGAAGGGCGAGAGGGTGCTTCCAACGGGCTTGTGCAAAGCATCCTTCTAACCGGTCGCTAGCGGTGTGCCAAATTTGAACGCAATCGGCCCAGCCGTTCCTGAGATCTGGAAGCGGCATTCTGCACGTGCGCACGTGCAAACGGGGTCCAAAATGACTTTTGCACGGCACCCTACTAACTAGTCCCCAACCGTGTACCAAATTTGAGCGCAATCGGCCCAGCGGTTCTCGAGATCTGGAAACGCCCCCTGCACGTGCGCACGTGCAGTAGCACCCTAACCGCAACACATGGGAATGCATTGCCTGGTGGGTGCCTACCTGTATGCCAAGTTTCAGCGAAATCGCCCCAGTAATTACCGAGTTACTGAAATGGGAACAAATTTGGCACCTCTTATTGTTGTATTTTGCACGTGCACTGGGGGTGACCCACATACATCGAAAGTATCCTATTTTGGGTAGAAGGGATGCTGCTACCCTACAAAAATTACCGCAAGTCAATCGCCCAAGCGGCTGCTGAGATATGAGCCTCTCAAAATCACTACTTTTGCAAAACAGCTTGAACACCCTTGACTTTTCACGTGGCACGTGCCACGACAGTCACTGAGATGTATCAAAAGTAGTCAATTACGGGGTAGAAGGGATGGGGCTACCCAACAAAAAAGACCGCAGGCCAATCGGTCCAGCGGTTGCTGAGATATAAGCCTCTCAAAAGCGTTACAGGCCGGGCCGGGCCGGGCCGGGCCGGGCCGCTCATACTGAGATTTTTCCGTTACATTGAAAAGACTCACTTCGCTCGCTGCGCTCGCTCGCTCGTAATCATGTAATATTGAAGCATATATGTGATGCTACTCTCTTGATACGTTAATGGGTGCAACCGTAATGCTAATAGCTAAATGTCCAAGGATTACTTAGGCTAAGCTAAACAAAACGCAGTAATAAAAGCCGGTGTGATTGACAAATTGACAAAATTGAGAGGTCGTTCAGTGATTTCATATTTGCACATTGATAATACCGATAATACATCCAATAGACGTTTCCCCGATTCATTTAGGTATCAGCGATTTAGCCCTGTCCCCATCCACTATCCAATGGTCTGTCTTTTACGGCCCCCTGTGTGGGGTGGGGGGCTGGGGGCAGCTTCCGGAGACGCCAGTAATCGTCGGTAACATTCCGATCGGCGGCGTCTGGGTGCGGACGTCCCGCCGCGAGGGTCAAATCTCCCCGTCCCCACCGCTCCCCTCTCCTGCCCACCTGACCCCTCCCCTCGATTTACCCTTCCCGGCACCGCGCCGGCAGCCACCGGGTGACCGACCCCGGTCCGGCGTCCCGCCTTCCTGACCGACAGGTCACCGGCTGATTACTTGGACCAGCACAAAGGGATGGAGCTGATCGAACCAGCGATCGTCTTTCGTCTTTGCTGATCGTCTTTGCAGCGACTTTGATGACATCGTGGGTATCCTATATCGGACGTTTACTGATCGACATATACTGACCCTTCCGGCTACGGTTAAACTATTTGTTTTTATCAGATACGACGATGGTCAGTCGTAGAACGGTTATCGGTTACACCACCACTGTTGAAACAACAGCAGATAAGGCATTCTTAACTCGACAACCCTTGTAATGTCTCCAAACAGAGGGCAAAAACACCAAACGTGATGTATGAAATGCAAATGTGTAAATGGTTGTCGTTTAGTGTAAGGACATAATTTAGATATGTGAGGTAGAGGTCTATTTTGTTGAGAAGTTCATCTGCAAGAAAAACCTCGAATGAATGATGGAACCAATTAGCAGTGGTGATGCAGATCATTAGTAGGATGTGCAATGTGCAATGTGAAGCCTTTCCTTCTATTCTAACTTTATATTCGGATGTTGCCACAGTAAAATATAAGCGAAAGGCCACCATGACAGACACAAACGAAAGCAACGTTGAAATGACCAAGAGCCACGAAGCAGCTCACTGAAAAGGCTACGGGAAGATCATTCAACATTGGCTACGTTTCCATGGCACAAGTTAAGCCGATTTTGAAAAATGGATTTGCTCCATCATAGCATTAAGGCATAATGTAAAACTGTATATATAGGATTAGGTGCTAGCTAAAACCATATATACGCTCATTTTTTGCATAAGGTAAATAGTTTCCGAGAAAAACGCACGTGAAGTTTCGCTAAATCGATTTAGACGTGGCATGGAAACGTAGTGATTGTCCGACGCGTTCAATCGATTCCAACGCTGCACGAGTCAATGACCCCGTCCCCGTGCTCCAAACACCCATGCAAAACACTGACTTTCACTCTCGGCGAAAACGGAGCCCCGTGACTCAGTTTCCGCGGCAGTCGCCAATCTGTGACGTCTCTCTCTGTGCACCCGCCTCACAAACAAACCCTTCTGGAACCCCATCTACTTACCTCCTGCTGATGTTGGCTGCTGTTAGGCTGTGCTGTCCCCTGCTGGCTGCTGTTAGCCTGCTTCGTATGCTGACGGCTACTGCCAGACTGCTCCGTCTCCTGCTGGTTACTGCTAGTCTGTTTGGCATCTTGTTGGCTACTTGTGCCCACAGACTGCTTCGTCTGACTCAACCCTGGCCTCTCAGTCTGCCGCTGACTGCTACTGGTCTGCTCCTTCTGTGGCTGAATGTTTTCAGGTGGCATTAACTGATGTTGGCTTCTTCCAGGGTGTCTCGGCTTCTGCTGGCCGCTTCCAGGCGCCTCCATAACCGTGTCCAGAACCACCACTCGCTTGCCGACCACAAAGAAATGAATGGCGGTCCCCTGGGGCCGGTGAGCGCCCCACTCCGCCATGACCGCACGCACGCACCCACGCTCGCCTCGCACGCACACGCGTCTCTGCGCGTCCGGTCTGCGTCCGGCGCGGTGCGCGGGAGCCGCCGGCCCGCCCGCGGGGCCGGCCGCGGGCTGCCATTGGCCACCGCCCGTCCCCTGGTCACCCCTCCCCACCCCAGCGCCTGCGGCGGCCCTATGTGCGCACGAGGAGGGTGCCGTAATACGCAGGACCCCGCCATGGCGCCAAAACAACCGGCACTGCGCATGCGTTTGGGGCGGTCTGTCAGTGTGGAAGAGCTTGAGCGGTTTCTGCCTCTGAAAGCTGGGGTGATGGGTCCCCGAAGTACGTTTGCGTCATGCTATTTCGGAGGTCCATGGGTCATGGCCGAGGCTGGTGCAACAGACGGCTGGGGTATGGTATCTCTTAGGTGACGAACGTCTACGCAAATAAGCGACAAGTAACCCTTCCTTCATGAGCCTCATGAGCTCTTGTCAGCATCGCAAGTAATCGCAGCTGACTTGCAGACTTTTGTTGGGCACCTCAGGCAACTGTATATCCATATTGCACGAGGAAGGGTCAAACATCCGCACATCTTACTGGGAACGCATCTTTTTGTCACATGTCTTATAACTTGCTGATTGCTCTTTCCGAAAAAAATGAATTAAGATGTGTTTATTTCTATGTAAGCACCATTTACATTCAACCAGCGAATTTTACACTTTTATTTTTCGATAATAGCTGCCAGCTGGTCAAATGTTCAGCCTATCCTTCGAATGGAGCCTGATGAATTTTTCATTTGTCCTGGAAACAATCCGTGGAGGCATTTCATTCTTAAGATCACGTTTGGACAAGCAAAAACAGCTTTGGGCTCGTGCATTTCTATTATGATTTGTCGCCCCTGTTTAGCATCAGCTGCTGTAAGCTATTTATCCTCTGTGCCGATCACCTTTTTTAGTAACTGTAAAGGAATCGTTTTCTATAGCCCCTGCCCGCTGTTCATATTCGTTTCGGACTTCCTCGTTCCACTCTCCGATTTTAGCTTCGCAGGCCGATTATTCGTCCGTGATCTGCTCTTCGTCTATCTTTCCGTCTATCCGTCCGTCCGCCTGTCATCAATCCGTCCGTTCGTCCGTCCTACCGTCCATCGCCTACCCGTTCGTCCATCCAACCGTCCATCCGTCCATCCGTCATTCCGTCATTCTGTCCGTCCGCCCGTCCGCCCGTCCGTCCGTTCGTCTGTCCGTACGGACAGACGTACGGACGTAGCAGACGTACGTCCGAACGTCTGCTCGTCAGTCGCCCGTCGTCCGTCTGTCCGTCGCCCGTCCGTCCGTCCGTCCGTCATTCGAGAGTGCGCGGCGTTATCGAACATACCTCTCCACCCGGTCGCTGGCTGATGCAACTCAGTGAACCGCGGCCAGCCGATAATCAGGTGACCCTTGGCTCGGCGCGCCCGTCATGATAGATCGGAGCCGTATTTCGCCAGTCCACGGCCCATGAGTTGGTGAATTTACAGCGAGTGAACCTGGTTGACAAACAAGGTAAAGCCGGACTGGCTGAAGAGTTGAGCGTGGGAACTACGCATATAAGGTACGTATGTATTTTACTCTGTTGTTTGCAATGGAATGCTATTGTGAGTCAACGTTTGATAAAACGGCACGCTTCTGGCTTATTTTACAATTAGATATGCCACATATGAGGATGAAAGGAGGTGAGACGGCTCCAAACTGGATCATTGCCTACAATCTATGGTTACTTGCTTGAATCATGTGATGTGTCAGCTTTTGTTAAGATTGGTTTTCCGCAGCTTTAACCCGCGCCCTGGTGGGGTCTGTTTATAACGCGACCTGGTGGGGGGCTATTTTTTGCCCCCCCCCTCGTATCTCCGAAACTACTGGACGGATCCGCAAAATTCAAATGGCGTTCGAAAGGCCTGTCAAATTTGTCGAAGGAAACCAAATTTCATTGACCTCGGGGTCACCGATGACGTCACAGGTCAGGTCAAAGATGAAATGTTTCACCGTTCACGGGTCTTCTAGGGAATGCGCTATAACACCGAGGAAAACGCATTTTGTCGAGAATCAGCGATAGGGCGTCACTTGCCTAGTAGATATGTTGCTATTAGAGGTCACTGACAATACCAGGTCAGGTCACAGGTCAGGTCACCAAGGGTCACAGGTCAGGTCACATGAGCCCAACTTTACTAAGGTTGTGTGATGCATGGTTATCAGGTACGGCTTAGGTCACTTTCTGGTGAAGTGCAGGTCAAGGTCAGGTCAAGGTCAGGCCAAAAAGGTCTAATTTTAAAGTTGATAGTTTTGCATAAAATGGGTATTGATTCGATGCAGCTCGTCACGGGGAGTCTAATGGTGGTCTTTGTTTTGCGCTACGGGGTCTAGAAATGCTAAAAATTGAGTTTGAAAATTTGACGTCATCAATTTTGAACAGTTTTTTTTTTGCTATAACTTCGCCAAAAAAAGAGGTATCAATCTCAAATTTGGTATGTGGATGGAAGGTGGTAAGGACTATCACATATTTTCCGGTTTTTGCGAAATTCAAAAAACTTTTTGGATTTGTCGATTATTATATCCAAAAAAAAATATTTTTTGATTTTGGGGGGTCAAAATCCAAAAATTTCAAAAATCCGAAATAGCAGTTTTGTAGCCCTGTTGATTCTACAGCTTTTATGTCTTATCATTTTTCTGTATTTGCAAAGCTATAGGCCTGACAGCTCTTCCCGCGAAACCCTTTTTTGGGTCGAAAACGGCAGAACATGACGTCACTCTGACGTCATTTCCGGCCAACCTATCATAGCCTTTGGTAAAATTTTTGGTCACAATGTGTAAAATTGATGTCCGGGAGGGTACTGAAAGTTTGGTGACGATCGGCGCAGCGGTTCTGGAGATATATCGAAAAGTCTGGAGGGGGGGGGGGCAAAAAATAGCCCCCCCCACCAGGTCGCGGGTTAAACTCCCTTGATCTCTTGTCTCATGAAGAACGTTCTAGCGAGGGAACTGGTTTGGTGTGCTCCACTTCGCGATGAATTCATGTAACAAAAACAAATGTTCTACCTATATATGTTCTACCTAGTACTTGCAGCTGTTGCCAGAATTCTTACAATGACGCATTTGGCAGGCGTCCTGTTGTGGGTAGTGACCATAAAATGAAAAGTCGACGAAAAGTCGTTCTCCTGCCTGTTAGGTACAGTTGAAGGACTAAGTTAAGTTATAAAACTTTTATTTTATCTGATTGCTGGCGAATAAGCAAATATGTGTGTCAACCTTCATACTATTTGTCACTGAATGCGTTCCTTGCTAACCCGTGTCCCGCTGGGGCTCGGGATTTCCACGCCATGCTGGCCCTGGGGGGGGGGTGCTTAAACACCTCCCCCTTCTAATTTGGATCTTGGGCCACACGGCAAGATCAGGCATCTATCTTCATCTTCATCATGAATATAGGCCATCATTCAGGATCAGTTAAAATGATGCGCATGTGATTCAACCATTTATAGGTATACCTCGTCTTGGGCTTGGGTCAGGTGGCCCAATTTTTTCACTTTTGCGGCATTCACTACAAAATTTCGCATTACACGAACACACACAACAAACGAAGTAGGTACAGTAGGTCTACAAAAAAAGTCCCCCGCTCCAGAGACGGCCGGCCGGCCGAACCCCCGGATTCCAGCCCCGACTCTATTGCGCAGGCCGCGGCAGCGACACGGGTCAGGTCGCGGCGCCCGGCGAGTGGGTCAGTTGGCGGCGGCCGGCCGTGGAGTGAGGACGCCGTGTGAGGGGCGCAGAGATGCCGCAGTGCAGAGGAGGGGGAAGATAGTTACTCTGCACTATGCCGGAAATGATGCCTTTGTGATCTAAATTAAACACCTGCAGACGCAGTGCATATCCTCCCTCGCCCCATTCCTATATTATCATAATCCTTCAATAAGCCGTAATGACCATTCAACGCAAGCAAGCAAACAAAACAACCCGTTTAGCGGCGACATCATCTCGGATAAAAAAGCGACAGTAATGATTAAAATAGACATAGCGCGAGAGCAAATCGAGGGGTATATATGTATCACATACCCAGCATTTTATTACCATCAAGCAAATCAAGATTGGGGATCTTGTCCAACAAGTCAGCGGCTGTTCTAGACATAGATAAATGCTTCTTTTCGGTTGCATCATTATCTGCAATAATTCGAAGCGAGGTTTAACCCTCGCCGGCCGAGAAGAAGGGGTGAATGCCGCCACCATGTATTTTTTGCGGTAGCTCAAAGCACACTGATGATAGAAGGCTGACATTTCATATGCCTTGCATTTGATTCACGCCGGATCATTTGACATCAACCACGTTTTCAGGTCAGGTCACTTAACCATGGCGTCTTAACCCTCGCCGGCCGAGGGGGGGGGGCGGGTGCCGCCCCCAATAGGGTTTTTTCGCGATAGCTCCGAACACGCTGGCGATAGAAAGCTGAAACTTGGCATACCTAACCTTTGATTCAAGCCGGATCTTTTGACACCAACCGCATTTTGGGTCAGGTCAGGTCACTGACCTATGGCGTCATAAGTGAGCCTCTGCACGGTCTTCAGATGTCGCAACTTCGCAACGCCCTCACTGCCAGAGGAGATGTCACAGGGAAATGAAACTTGCAGGATCTAGTATCCATTATGAGTCTCACAACTTGTATATCTCGGATTTTTCCTAAAGGTCATATGAGGTCAGGTCATTTTCGTGACCTCACCATTAGGTATAAGTCAATGGGGAAAAAATGAAAACTGCTGTTCTGGCGCCGGGAACGATCTCCAACTACCTCAAGCACACATAATCGTGATTTGATGCACTCCTTGCAAGGTTAGATACGTCACTTTTGCAATGTTGACCTTGCGTGACGTCATTTTGTCACGCAATGACCTTGATGACGTCATTTATGACGTCATCAAGGTCATATTAGTTTTTCGTCAATAACTCCCGATCAAATTGAGCTAGCAAGTCGGGAAAGCCACCAATGGACTCAGGAAGATCTGCCGAATCGAATGATATGCAACATGAACTCTTTCGACCAACTTCGTGACCTGGGGGTGCTGACCTGACCTTGACCTGAGGTCAACACCCCAAGTTGACCTGACCCGGACAAAAAGTATATTATTCGACGCGCCTGAGCAAGGCGAACACGATGCTGCCAAAATCGCGGCTCTGCGGCCGTTTTTTGCGAAGTTATTCACCAAAAACTGAACTGTACCTTGGGGCACTTGACCTGACCTCAGAGGTCACCGGTTGACCTAGGACCTTAAAATCGGGTACCAACCTCTGCGTCTCGTAACGGCGCACACGCTCGTTTTTTCCGCGACGCGCTAGCTCCACCTGGGGCGAAACGGTCAGGGGGGCGTCGTACCCGCCCCCCCCCCCCCCCCCCCCTCGGCCGGCGCGTATGTAGAAAACCAATAGGTCCGGCGAGGGTTAAGTAAACCTCTGCACGGTTGTCGGTTATAAAATGATGCAAATCCGCAATGCAGTTAGTGTCAAGCATAATGGAGAAATATGGAACTGTTAATTTGGCGTCGGAAATGATCTAAAATTACACCTCAAGCACTTCAAATCGTGACTTCATACTTTCTTGGCAAGGTCTAATGCTTCACTTTTGCATTGTTCACCTTTCGTGACGTCATTTATGACGTCACTAGGGTGATAGGAGTGCTTCGTCAATAACTCCCGATCAAAATGAGCTTACCAGTCGGGACAGCCATCTTTGGACTTTGCAAGCTTGCCGAATCAAATGTTATGCAACATGTCCTCCTTTCAACAGCTTCGTGACCTGTGTTGCCCTAACATGACATTGACCTCAGGTAAACATTCTAAATTGCTTCACCTAAACAAAAAAGCATATAAATCGACGCGTCTGAGAACAGAAAACACGATTGTATCGAAATGACGATAATGCGACCATTTTTGCGAAGTCTCACCGAAAACCGATCGAATGCCTTGGGGCCCTTGACCTGCCCTAAGAGGTCACTGATAATTTAAAATGGGGTACCAGTCGCTGCGTCACGTAACGAAGCAAGCGCTCGTTTTTTTTCCGCGAGGCTCTAGCAGCTAGCTCAATTATAGGAGCTAAACATGGGGTTGGGGGATCGCTCCCTTCTCACTCACTATTTGGCCGGGATAGTGTTTGCAATTATTGTTAAAATCCAGCATTTTCATATTTCAAATAACCCATTTTTCTCGCCCAAGTCTTTCAATTCAAGGTCATAACACCAGGTCACGTCAAGTGACCTTACCTCAAGGAAAGTTCCTGTGCTCATCTTATCTAAATACACTGACTAACCGATCGCTTTAAAACTTTCAGCGATTTCAATGGGCAACACTATATGTATTTGAAACGTTTACTTTGCAAGTTTGACATTGTTGACAGAAATGCCGGGTAAATTTTGAGATCGCCCAAGTCAATGGGAGATAATTGAACTGCGCTTTTTTGGACGGAACGCATAATAAACACTCTGAAAACATGTGGTGCTTGATGAGATACAATACTGAATGAGAAAATTGTTTGTTTTGTTGGGAGCCATGTTTTTCAGTCTGAAAAGGCCCTTGCAGAGCTATGACATAACTATGCTCTGATGTAGTAATTGGGTTGTGCGAGCCAGCGACAGTGATCTGCGGAAGCGAGACTGTTTCCGTGGGACGATTGCCCTGTCGGGACGGTCCAGCCGTCTCCCAAACGGTCACCCGAAGAGGATTATGTGTCCTGGAATGGATCCGACATCAACTACAGGTTGGCTGGTGGGGTGACCTCCAGTCCAGAGAGGGAAGCATGAAGACTAGGGGCGATGCGGATTGTTTTTTTTCCTGAGGATAGCGAGAACGGAAGGGATCTAGCACCCTTGACCCTTCCTTATACTGAATGTATCTCAGGCTGTTAAATCTCCTAAGCGTTTTTTTCTCGACATCGTCAAGGTGTCATTAATAAAAATATGAAATCCGGGAGAATAAATTAAATATAGAAATTGTGGCCAACAGAACATTATCAGTTGCGTTAAACATACTAGTAAGCATGATCACACACCCAGCTTATATATGAGCCATGTCATAATTATTTTTGATAGACATGCTTAAGTTATGAAATCATCTAAAGTGTTTGTTAAGTTCCACGATACGAATCTAATATCCTGCTATGCATCATAACCATTTCTGGTCAGGTCATGTCTTTGAACATAGGCCAAATTTTTCAAATGACCTTTAAAGATCAACTTTTGATTCATTCGAAGCGTTTTTTGATAAGGGTTTTTTGACACGAGGCTGGTAAAATTAATTTCAAGTAAGTTTAAAGCTAAAAACTTTTAAGTGTTTGTGGAAAAGCCATAGGTTTTCTCATAATACCGATGGTGGCAGTTGCTGTTATTTACGTGCTAAGCCGTTCGCCCTTATTAAATCTGACAATATTATTCAGACATAGCGGTAAACGAGCTGATTGTTGTGTTAGGTTAGGATCGGTCGATTTCAGAGTGGGAAGGATGACAGGAATTAGGGGGAGACAGGGGGCCTGGGCGGGAGTCCTGGACCTCATGCTCCGCTGGGGCCGAGCCCATCACGTGGGTTGGATTGCCCTGACACATGGATAGCCCTGGGCGGTGTTTCACGGCCCCGCGTTGCAGCACGCTGCGCTGCGCTGCTGCATTGTTGCGGCGATTGATATGAATTCGGCTCCACGCTAGCGTTGCGAGCTCCCGAGTCTGTTGATGTTTCCATGGAAACTGGAAACCCAATGCACCGGTGCGCGCAACGCACCCTGTCCAAGCAAAATTTTACCACCGATGACCTCTGGTGACATGACCTCTGGCTCTGACCCGATCTAAAATTGGCTGAAGTATATTTCTTCTTCTTTTTGCTACTTTTGACGCTACTTCGAATGCCACTTAAATGCCCAAAGCTGAGTTATAAGAATGATGCTCAATCCCCATTTTCCCTCCAACAGGGCGTGCATAGGCATTCCTGTGGGGCACGGGCTAACAATGACTTTCTCATAATCATTGTGGCCATGAACATCTACTGCCATTCTTCAACACCGGTTTCGCTGCGCTGAACGGCGGCCGTCCCGTGTGTTGGATTCTACAGCTGGCTGGCGGAAAGCGTTACCGGCCGCCCGTCCACCGCCCGCGGGCCGGACCGAGCGGTCCCGCTGACCCTATCTGACCTGAGCCCGGCGCGATATGGGACAGGCAGACGGGGGTTCGGCTCAGCGGAGGCAGCGCCCACTGGTGCTGGGGACTTTTTTAATAGACCTACTGTACAGGTCATGGGGGCATGCGTAAAGGCATGCAACGGTAGCTCATACTTGTGATCGGTAAAGTCGTAACGACATCAGACATGTATATAACGATAGCGACTTGCGTGCGTGCTGCCCAACCCGAACCTTGCGAGGTGGCTGCATTCGATCATTCTGTCAGAAAGATTCTAGTCTAGCTGCATCTTTTTTGCAAATACGTTCTGTACGCGATAGATGGCATAGAAGAATGAGCTCCCGGTATGAATGAGAAAATTATCGGCAGTCGTTTAGCAAAGCCCAGCGATACAATCATCAACAAGATGACTACTTGTTGTTCATTAGGTGCCGCTGCCGTTGGCCGCATCAAATATCATTTTTATTTACGGCGCCGACTTTCTTCTTGAAGGTGGCATGCTAGGACAGTCTGACGGGCTTGGAGAGACACAGTGTTGCAGAGCTGCGTTTGGAAATTCCTGTTTGTTTTGTTGGGTTAGGCCCTTTCGGTCTGACAAGATCATTGCAGAGCCGGAAGGATGATAGGAATTAGGGGGAGACATTGGTCTGGGCAGACACCCTAGAGAGTCGCCGGGGCTGAGCCCGTCCGAATGGACAGGCCGACCAGCCCCCAAAGCATTCTCTGCACCCGGCTACGGGGTGCGCTCCCTCGGGAGCAGCGGTGCCGCTCCAAGGGAGCAGCCCACATGAGATAAAGGTGCCTGTCCAACCCGGAGTGGGGTTGCGGCGTGGAGGAGAAGGATTTCTGTATCCTGAGGATAGAAGCACGGAACGGTGGAAATTCCGGTGGAAACCACTGTGGAAATACGTTTGTCTCTTCGTCACCAATGGACGTTGCGCACGTACTGTTCCCGAAAAGCTTAATGGAGACTGGAGCGCCACCTACCTGTAGTTCGGTACCCTGCCGCCGCCGATGGGGTGGAGCTACGGTCGCGGAGCGGCGCGGACCCGTCCAGGAATCGATGCTGCTCCGCGCCGGTCACTTTGGGAAGGTCACGTGGCTTCCTGGCCGCGTGCGGCGTGTGACCGACACCCACCCTTCGACAGCTCAGAAGTCGGTGTGCGGTGGCACGGGTTACTTCGGCTCGAGTCAGCTGAGGGTCAGCTCTGCTGTTCAGTCCCGAACGGGACTTTGTCTCTACGGTCCAGAGCACGAGCGCACGGGCTGGTCTGACCAGGGTATTAGATATCCCGGTGAGTCTTCTCGAGGAGCTGTCAGGTCACTGAACCCTGAGAGGCAGATATCAGCACGGACTTGGTGTTATTGCAGTGCATTACTCCATTGCTCCCCAAGGCCATGCGGCTAAGTGGAGGGTGACGAACATCATTTGAAGTCGCTTCTTTCCATGAAAAGACCGACTTCTAGTCCAAGTGAGATTTTAAGTATTTACAAAAATGCACTTAACAAGTGAATGAGGACTTAACTCCACAAGAAAACGTTCGGGTCGGAGCTTTCGAATTGTATTCACAAAACTTCGTCAGCGAGTCGTAATCGGGATCGGGGGGCGAGTCTCCTCGGACGCAAAAAAAGCACTTTCTCTATAGTCCTTAATTTCCCCAAGCCTGTGGCAGACTGCATCCATGAAAGGACATTGATCATATCTCGGATCAAAATTGTGAAGAATTTTAGCTGAAAATCTGTCAAAGCCTAATTGGTACTAAAATTAGAGCACTAAGCTTATCCATTCGTAGAAAAGCATGTAGGTATATAGGGATATGTACTTTTAAGGACGGGTAAACAGGCGACTTGCTGGGGAACCATAATTGCCCGGCACTATTTTTTTCCGCGCTTTAGTCGAGAAACAGTGTTATCAGGCATACGCAATAGAAGACAAGTCAAGATAAAAGTTCGTAGTATACGAGTTATGTAGATTAGTTGGGGTGAAATCTCCTTTTATTGCTTTATCCTAATTCGTGGCAGTTCCTTCTATAGGTATGACCCAATCGCCCTGTACTGTCTTACAATCACATGAGGCGCCACTATCTATGAGTTTAGAAAACACGCATTGCGACCGGGATGAATAGCAGTATAAAATTCGTTTTTAATGCGTAGTGGCTTATTAATTTGTAACTTAACTTTTAATTGCTTGACTTCTTTACACGAATATAAATCGCATTGCTCGTCATTGCCATACCCAGCATATCGACGTGCATTACCTACTCAGCAACGTGTTTCAATCCCGGCACCCACCGCTGACTGAACCCCTTTTCTTATCCTCAGGACACCTAGGACATCACCAGGTCACCCGAAGGACCTCCCTAGCACGTCACCATGATCCCCAAGAACTTCACCCTGGCCGGTTTGAAGAAGAACTACCCTCTGATTCCGCTGGTGGGCCTACTGGGTGCGGCCATCACTGGATGTGCTGCGTTCTCTCTGCGCACGGCACTGCGCACACCAGACGTCTCTTGGAGAAAACAGATCAACCCGGAGCCGTGGAACGAATACCGCGACAAGGAGTACCGTCTCTACAACCCCAAACACATCCCCAAGGACAACTGTCCGGCGCCCAAGCTCGAATAAACTCCCTGGAGTCGGAATAACCGTGCGGATGGCGAGCGAAGTGGACCATGACGGCGTCGCACAGCGCGCGGTGCAGAGGTGTTTGTGATTGTGATGAGACGCGACGCTAGTCGACGGCGGTAGATTGTGTTTACGGGTCTCGATCGGATAAGTTCGATCCGTCTTTACCTCCGCTACACGCCGTGTAAGTTATTACATTCACAAATGATTTAGTGATTGATGTTATGCACAGGAACCAATGGCAATACATGTAATGTGGTAAAGACCGCTGAGGTGTGCAATGTGCATCGTTAGCTCTGCATTTTTGGGGAGCTTATGGCTAGTGTGTGTCTGTCACGCAGTGAAACATCACCATCAGATAACTGGCATATCAACGCCTCCAGTAGTGAACCGCATGCACTCAAGTAATGAGGGCTGCTTCAACCAAACCAAAAATAGAGAAGATAATATCGCAACTTTTTAACCACACCCAATGTGAACCTAATCAATTAACAATTGACATGCCAGATAGGTATTATTGTAAGTTCCATAATTATTACTACGTAAACTGCATTAATGTTTAACTTTATATGCATTTCGGTGAGTTCGAACAGTTCACGGTGCTCTCTTCTCCGTGCCGGGTTGTCATGCAATCAGCACTTCCGGTTCCGGCGGGCTGCACAGTGCGCACTGCGCATTGGCGCTGTGCAATGTCAATGGTAGCGGGCACTGATTCCGATTCCGGCCCGTTGCATAAGGGCCATTGAATCAGGCGCCTCTGACGTGCCATCGGCACCAGTCATGTTTCACCTACACAGCTGGTCCCCACTGGCCCTCTGCATCCGCTACACCTTGTGCGGTTCCCTAAGGCTTGTCGATCGGCCTATTGCCTGTCCGTACCGGGACGGCTGGGACCACTTCTGCGCCTGCCATCTATCGGGCAGTGTTTGAAACTACAGCGGGCGCCGGCCGGCCGCGCCGCGCGGCGCCGTTACCGGGCTATGGAGGCGAATGAAGTGGTGTAAAACCAGACGAATTTTACGCTTGTAAAGCAAAAAACGAAAAATGTACACTCACCACAGTGTTCAGCAAAGTACTGGGAACAATATGGATATAATTTAAAGCTAGTACGATGCGAACTGTTGGTTCCCTAGAGCAGTATTTACATACTTGTAGGAGATAGGACTTTAACATTACGGGAGCTTCTAAACTGCGCTCGCAATGTACTTGATTGTAAATATTTTCATTTGGAGGCAAAAATCTAAAAATGTACAGTCAGAGCGTTGTTCCCAATGCTTCTAGGTACACAATGAACATAAATTTAGCTCGAAATGTCATCACACATTGGTTCCCAGTCCAGTTTAAAACGACACTTTGTGCCGCAGAGCCTATCTCTTCCAATGGATGGCGGCTGGGTGGCGGTTGTAGTGGTGGACAAGACAATTCTTGAGTGAAATGAAATCATTTGCTTTCAAAGAAGAATTTTGAAGAACTTGTAATAATTGACAAATGATCGTTAATTACAGTGTATAATTTCAAGTTCATGGCAAATGAAAATATTTTAAACAATGCTAGTGAACCCCAGTACCGCCGCGCGAGAAAGCAAGTACTCGACGCACGGTCTGCCCGCCACTTCTGAAAATGGTCCGCGGCCGGCCGGCCGCGACCCGACACGTCATCTCAGTATCATTCATCCAGGCCTCATAGGTCTCAAAGTCTGCACTTTCCGCCTTTCTCTCTGTTCTGTCGGTCCCCGCTGTCATTTCGGACACCCCTCTCAATCGATTTTAGCCGTTTTCACGACGGCCATCTGGTACACATCTGGTGCACATTTGATGCAGATTAGGTGCAGATTTGGTCAAATCAAGTTCTGTTCAGTGTGTCTCTTACTAGCTATCAGCTAGGGTTGCACTAATTGCTTATATGCCTGCTTCGTCATATTATCAGAGAGTATCATCGACAGGGCTGCGGAGTCGGAGTCGTAGTCGGAATCGGAGTCGGTCGGAGTCGACAGTTGTGACCGGAGTCGGTGTCGGAGTCGATTTTAGAAACCCGAGCCGGAGTCGGAGTCGGAGTCACCGAAAATCTGTCGACTCCGCAGCCCTGCTAGGTCTGCGGAGTCGGAGTCAGGAGTTGGAGTCGGTCGGAGTCGACAATTCTGCCCGGAGTCGGAGTCGGAGTCGGAGCTGGTTTTTGAAAGCCGGAGTCGGAGTCGGAGTCGGTGTCGCCGAAAATCCATAGACTGCGCAGCCCTGATCATCGATGATGAAAACGCTGAAATAAATTCATAAAATACAGATATTTGCTCTAAAAGAGATTAGGTGCAGATTTGGTCAAATTAGGTGCACTCGCCGGATAGCTTGTCGTGAAAACGGCCATTGTCAAGCACCAGTGATTTGAATCTGGCTTCTGCACTCCCCCTTTCTAAATTCTTTCTCTGGTGTCATCTAAATAGCTTTCACACGCAACGATGAATTTTAAGCTTAACCCTCGGCCGAGGGGGGTGGGTGCCGCCCCCCCCCCATAGGCTTCTTTCGCGATAGCTCCAAACATGCAGGATATAGAGAGCTGAAATTTGGCATACCAGACCTTTGATTCAAGCCGGATCTTTTGACACCAACCGCATTTTCGGGTCAGGTCAGGTCACTGACCTATGACGTCATAAGTGAAACTCTGCACGGTCCTGAAATGTCGCAACTTCGCAACGCCTTCAGTGCCAAAGGAATTTTTACAGGGAGATGGAACTTTCAAGACCTAGTTATCCTCCTGAGTTTTCACAACTGGTATATCTTAGATTTTTTCCTTAACCCTCACCGGCACAGGGGGTTGCAATGTTGATGCACCCCCCCCCCCTAAGGTTTTTCGCGAAAAACTCGCGTAAAAAGCGGCCGATTGCGACGAAACTTTCAGTACCCTCGCATTGATCAATTATACACCATACCCTGAAAATTTCATGTCCCTGACCCAAATGACCTTTGACCTGTGACCTCTTTTCCGAGACCATGTTTGGCCGGAATCGCGATTCGGCATATGTCGGCTCGCATTAGCCGCGCGTTTGCAAGCTTTTCGTGGTTTCAAACGTTCAAACATGTGATTTGATGTTGCTCCCATGCATTAGGTTGGGTGTCAAGTCACCTGAAGGTCAGATCAGGTCATTGACCTTTGGTGACCTCGGTTCACTTTTTCGAGTTTTACATGTTTCTAGGCTAGTTTTTTTTAGCTGAATTCGAATTTAGCAACCATTTGAGCATTTATGAAGTAGTTTTGGTGCCTTCGTAACATGTTGCGAAGCTGTCAGACGAATACCCGTCACAACCTCTACCGGTTGACCTGACCTGACCTGGCCCGACCTGGTCTAAACGCTTAACGACATCATCTGTGATCAAAACTAACACGATATTCGTGATCAGCACCCCGGAAAACCCCTTAGCAGCCACACTTTACGACTTTCTAACAGGTCCCGATTTTCCCGATTTTCGGGCCATTAACCTGACCTGGAAGGTCAACCGATGACCTAGGACCTTAAAATTGGGTATCATTGGCTTCCTCTCGTGACGGGCAACACGCTCGATTTTTCCGCAAAGCTCTAGCTCCATCAGGGGCCAAACGCGAGGGGGGTCGTACCAACCCCCCCCCCCCCTTGTGCCGTCGAAGGACTCAAAATGGCCTGTGCCGGCGAGGGTTAACCCTCGCCCGCACATGCCATTTTCCCATCCTAGAACGCACATGGGGGGGGGGTGGTTGCCACCCCCCCGCGCCATTTCGTTCCTGTTGGAGATAGAGCTTAGCGGTAAAGACCAAAAAGATTCTTTGGGAAGAGACAAATCCAATGATACCCAGTTTTACCTTCTCAGGTCAGTCATTGACCTTCCAGGTCAGGTCAAACTAAAAAATGTTGCTGTTTTGGGTCACCGTTGGATATCAAGTGCGCTGCTTATCAAATACCGATGACGATGCTGTTTTCTGGTGCCAGGCCAGCTAGAACCTCTTTGTCACACTACCCGACCAGAATTTTGCGGCTGAGGTCATTTCAGGTCAAGTTAGGTCAAGGTCAATTATATGTGTTTGTATGTCTGTGTGCACTGAGAAAAATCCTGACTCCGCATGACACCCGCAGGGGGAGTTCACCAAAACGACACCCCAAAACTCCCAGGTGGTACTCCTCATTACACCCCCCCTAAAACTCTCCATTACACCCCAAAACTTCCCTCGAGAAACTCTCTGTAACTCTCCCTACCGTTTTAGAAAACTCTTCATTACTCTCCTTTACCCTATCAAAACAAACAACATACTCCCTGAAACTCCCTTCCATTACTCTCAATGACTCTCCTACTGCCTCATAATTACTCCCGATTACTCCATTCCATTATTCCCCAAAACTCCGTTTACAGCTTCATGGTATACCTCTTGTTACTCCCCATCAAACTCACCCAAACTTCCCATCACTCCACTCCAGCCCCCCCCCCCGAAAATAAATATTGGACGAATAACGTAACCACCCAAAGCTCGTGTCCCGAAGCACAGATAAAAAATATATTTCAAGAAATGTGTATTCATAGTCCGGGGCTGTGGGAGGCTTAACAAATTGACAAACGCTTTCAACATCCCGCCGCGGCACGCTCTCCGGGGATCTCACTCCATATGCTTCACGGTCGCGAGTTTTGATGTCAAGAATCCAAAAGGCGGCCTACCAAAGCTGGAATGCTTGGTCTGGTGGTGCCGCTACCCTACCACCTCCTGGGCCTCGACGAATATTGCGTCTTCTTCATCCGGCTCTCCTTTCACGATGGTGGGATGGATATTTTGCTGGCCTCCGTTGGCTTCCGACGTGTCTTGCGGGATGCGCTGCAGGCTCTCTAGCTCATCCCCTGCAAAATGTTAATAACCATGAAATTATAGGTACACTTAACAGTGCGTGGGAGGAAATGGAGGAGAAAGAAGAAAGAGAAGGAGGGAAATAATGAAGGAGAAAGGGAGGGAAGGAGGGGAGGGATGAAGGAAGGAAGGAAGGAAGGAAGGAAGGAAGGAAGGAAGGAAGGAAGGAAGGGAGTGAGAGAGAGGGGAGGGGAAAGAGGGAGTGAGGAAGGAAGCGGGGAAAGATGGAAGGAAGAAATGAGGGAGGAGACTGAGAGGTAGGCAGATGAGACAAGATGGACGAGACGAGACACACGCGACCTGACGTGTTGGCACTGATACTGCATTTCAGCACATGATGTCAAAATAATGAAAGCAAGAGATTGCAAAGTTAGCATACTTTTTGTGCACTACAATGTTGATAAAGTTAAGTTTCAGTGAAAGTCTAAAGGGCAATTTAACAGCCTCCATTTTAGTTGCAGACACAGTAGGGCAATGCTATAAAACGTACCTACTTGAACGCTCAAAAAGTTGAGCCGTCGCTAAAAATAAGCTAAGGACGTTATACGCTGCATAGGTAGTAGGTACCCATGTTAACATTAAAGAACGAAATTCAATTATGGACACTTTCTAAAAACATACAACAATTTAGACAAAATTTATTTGAACATGCTGGTTTGTCGGTGGTTTTCATCATTCATGGGCAGTGGCAGTGGTAGGTAACTGATTTTTTTTTAATATATAGGGGCTAGGAAAGTCAAGGCTTTTATGCCAAGATAGTTTAATTTTCTGGCTCTGCTTTGAAAGCCCTTCAAATTTGATATTTTTCATTGGTATGGATATTAAAATAATTGGGCAATAACAATAGGATCCATGACGTGTGAAGCTTGTGTAATCCTAACTTTCCAATTTATTTCAACTTTCCAATTTATTGTATGATATTTGCCAATACCTAGAAACTCAGAGCATGCTGTTTCCGATCTTTATCTCACTCAGGAACAAAACAAATCAATTACCCTTACAGAGACCATTCCAGCCCATCAAGAACATGGGGTTACCACATGTTCTCATCACAACATTATAACACTTTGCACTATAAAAGCATGATGAGAAATACAGCTAAGCTTACCTTTAAATCCAAAGTAAGGTCCAATTATCCGTCACTGTATAGGTCAAGTCCGTCTAATCAACACGCTCTTCACTAACACCTCGCCCGCCGCCCCGCATAACGTGCTGTGTACTACGCGCAAAAGATGGCGGCCACCGGCAGCCTCGCGACGTATGCTAAAACCCCTTCGTAACTCCCCTTTTACTCCTGTGGGAACATTCGGGAAAAGTTTTTCGGGAGCAATGGAGAGTTGCGTCACAGAGTTATGGGGTGTCACACATGGAGTCATTTCGCCATCCATTAAGAACTCTTAAAAACTCTTTCGCAAAATGAGAAAGGCTCGAAGTTACCCTAGAACACACTCAATAACTCTGCTGGAAAGGGAGTTATCAATGGTTTTAAGGAGTTTTCAGGGGAGCATTTTCAAGAGTTTTGACCCATATGGAGTCAATTTTTTTCTCAGTGTGTGTCTGTGTGTATACTGATGTGTGCACCGATTGTTTTTGGGTCCATATTACATGAAATCATGCTCTGAGAAGCTTTTACCAAAAATGCAGTCAAAAAAATTCAAAAAAAGTAAATTCAGCTTGCCTAAAACGCAATTATCTTAGATGACCTAGGTTGACCTTGACCCTGACCTTGACCCCTGCACATCGCCGAACAACATGTTCCATGATAGGTGGGAGGTAAGACTGGCAAAAAAGGCCGAAATCAGGGTGTCAAAAGCTCGCAAGGCCCATGGCAATCGCAAGATGTTGAGAATTGGCCATTTGGGTCATGACATGACCTGAAAAACAAGGTCATATCTCCGAAACCAAAAATCAGAGAAACTTGAAATTTTCAGTGGACATCAAGAAAGGATAGAGGAGCCGCTATACGAAAAATCAGCCTTCTAGCGCTAAAAATGTTGAGTGCAGAGCAGAAAGACTACCTGGGGGGGTGGCAACCACCACCCCCCCCCCCCCCCATGTGCGGGCGAAGGTTAAGGTCACATGAGGTCAGGTTGGTCACGTGACTTCACCATTATAAGTCAATGGGAAAAATAAGGAAATTGTTCTTTTGGCGCCGATAATGATCTTCTCATGGACGCGGAATCGTGCTTTAATGCACTCCTCGCAAGGTCAGATGCTGCACTTTTGCATTATTGACCATGAGTCACTAGGGCCATAATAGTTTTTTTTTCGTCCATAACTTCCGATTAAATTGAGCTGGCGAGTCACGAAAGCCACCAATGAACTTGGAAAGATATGCCGAATCAAATGATATGTGACATGGCCTCCTTTGACCAACTTCGTGACCTGAGGGGCTCTGAACTGACCTTGACCCGAGGTCAATACCTTAAGTCGGCCTCAGCTGACGAAAAAGCAGGGGTGCGAAGCCGGAGCCGGAGCTTGAGCTGGAGCCGGAGCCGCCGGAGCCGACATATTTTGTCCGGAGCCGGAGCCGTGACACAATATAGCCCGGAGCCGGAGCCGGAGCCGGAGCCGTTAGAAAAGGCGGCGACTCCGACTCTTTTTTTGAAGAGGAAAAAATTATTCACCTAGTTCGGTTTGACAGTACAAGGCAATAAAACCTTTGGTACCTATTCAAAATAACCTTGTTATGCAAGTACAGAAACAACGTGAACCAATCCCTTCGTCTTTTTTCTTCTCGCCGTATTTAATTGTATAGAGGATGTACTGAGTAGGTACTGTAGCCGGAGCCGGAGCCCGAGCCGATTTTTTCTTCTCAGGAGCCGGAGCCGAGGCCGTCAGAAATTTCCAGGGCTCCGCATCCCTGCGAAGAAGTATTCCATTCGATGCGCCTGAGCTAAGCGAACACGATGGTTCCAAAACCGTGGCTCTGTGGCATTTTTTTGCGAAATCATTTACCAAAAACCGCACCCGTTCCCTGGGCCTTGACCAGAGTGACCTGACCTTAGAGGTCACCAGTTGATCTAAGACCTTAACAGTTAACCCTCGCCGGCACAGGCCATTTTGCGTCCTTCAATGGCACAAAAGGGGGTACACCCCCCCCCCCGTTGGTACACCCCCCCCCCCCCAATGTGTTTGGCCCCTGATTGAGCTAGAGCTTCGCGGAAAAAAACGAGCGTGTTACCCGTGAAGAGAGGAAGCCGATGATACCCAATTTTAAAATTGGATACCGCTCGCTGCGTATCATCACGGCGCACACGCTGTTTTTCCGCGATCTCTAGCTAGAGGCGAAACGGCCAGGGGGTCGTGCCCCCCCCCCGCCCCTCTCGGCCGGGGCGTATGTGAAAAACAAAAACAAAACAGCATGCCTGACTACGGTTAAAATGGCACCGGAAACTCATTCAATAGCATCTGGAATTGGTCGTACTAATGTCTACGCAGACGTGGAACGCATACAATCTGACAAAACACAAAAACCACCCCCGGTGCACTAGCTGAACTGCAGTTGATATGTGGTGCAGATGAGCGGACCACCGAAGTGCTGGTGCATTGCACATGTCGATGTAATGAGTGCACATACTCTGTGACGTCAGAGACAACGTTTTGCACCGAGAGAGTAAAATGGCGACTCTGCGTTCCGGGCACTCAGTAGTCTGCTCAGCGTGAGCAGCGAGCCATCGCTCACAGTGCTCCCGCGCCCGTCTCTGGCCGGTTCCTGCTAGCCGCTGTTCATGCGGTAACTATGAAGCTGTTCCACTTGCTACTGCTGCTGGGAGTTGTCTGCATTGTCATTGATAGCGTCTGCAGCGATCCGCGACGTCGTGGCTGGAGAGGCAGAAGAAGAGGCTGGAGAAGGGGCATAGCAAGGAGTCGATTTTGCAGAAAATTCCGAATTTTTTGCTTCTTGATCTTCTTGCGACGAGGTAGGCAAATAGGTTTATTACAGCTTACTTTAACATTGTGAAACTTACCATTTTGTTATGCCAAGATATTTGTCTGGCCTTAAACGTCCCAGTCATATGCCTATTCAGTTTCCAATAGTTTGATTCAGTATTTCAGTTGTAGCAGCGCTCCTGCGGCTGATATGATGTGTACGTATGTACACGTTTTTACGTCAATGCTCTCCCAGATCCAGCTCAGATTCGGGACACCTCAGAGCGACGTGAAACTTGCGCAGCACAAAGCGTCATTCAGGACACCTCAGAGCGACGTGAAACTTGCGCAGCACAGAGTGTCCCGAATCTGGACTGAATTCGGACTGGGTTTGAGTATGGTCTGTCTTGGCAGACTTTCAATGGAAGACGTTTGCACATATCGCTATATCCTTTATGATGAATGATGATCTTTATGTATCTTCAGCCAGGACAACAGCTGCACCAACAACAACGCCAACTACAACAACTGAGACCACAACAACCGATACCACTACTGAACTTACAACAACTGAAACAACAACGGAGTCTACGACAACCGAGACGACAACTGAAACGACAACTGTACCTACCACAACCGAAACGACCACTGAACCTACCACAACTGAAACGACCACTGAAACTACGACAACTGAAACAACAACAGTGACAACAACTCCATCGACTGCGGCACCGGTAAACATAATGTTTAAATGTCTGGATCAGGAAAGTGGTTTGCAAAATTGCTTTCCAGGGGCTTTCAAGAATATTCAAATGAAAAGGCTTTCTGAAAATGAATAAAAGTAACGTTACTCATATGTATGGATATTGAAAAAGACTGAACTATTTCTTATTGCTTGGAAAAGATGTAAAGAGGGTTACACGACTCTTTTGCTTGAAGCTTTTCATATTTGGACGGATTGTTTTGGTGAATAACATCAGAAACATTGTGCACATTTAACCCGCGCCCTGATGGGGGGGGCCATTTTGGCCCCCCCTGTGGTTTTTCTTAAATAGCGAGAAAACGGCGGCGCGCAGCGCCGCCAAATTTTGGGTACCTTACCGGACATCAATTTGACACCTTCACACAAAATTTCAAGTCACAGGTCACCTCAGGTCAGGAGTTATTGAGGTCAAACTGAGGTCATGTTCGAGTAAAAATGAGCAAAAAACATGACATCTTGAAACGCTCACCAATTCTACAGTTCACAAGCAATTTTAAAGTTCTTTATGTGGTTGTGTAGAAAAAAGACGGCGCTACAAAACTGCTATCTCGGATTTTTGAAATTTTTGGATTTTGACCCCCAAAAATCAAAAAAATTGATTTTTTTTGAAAAACTCAAAAAATTTCCAAAATTTTTTCGAATTTCGAAGAAACCGGAATATATGTGATAGTCCCTGCGCTCTTCGATATACATACCAAATTTTAGATCGATACCTCTTTTTTTGGCCAAGTTATAGCGAAAAACTGTTAAAAATTGATGACGTCAAATTTTTGAACTCAATTTTTAGCAATTCTAGACCTCGTAGCGCAAAAAGGAGACCACCGTTGAACTCCCCGTGACGAGCTGCATCGAATCGATACCCATTTTATGCAAAAATATCAACTTTGAAATTTGACCTAATTTGACCTGACCTTGACCTGACCTTGACCTGACCTTGACCAAAACGTGACCTAAGCTGGCCCTAAAGTCTGTTTGACCCACATAATCGCATTTGTCATGTAAAATGGACCATAAAACATGTATCACACGACACTTTCATATTGTGACCCCCCCAGTGACCTGACCTCTGTGACCTGACCTGGTATCAGTGACCTCAAATAGCAAAATATGTGTTTGAAGAACATTTCCCCATCGATGATTTTCAATGAAATGCATTTTACACGATTTTACAACGCATTTCTTGAAATGCCTGTAAACGGTGAAAATTCGACCTTTGACCTGACCTGTGACGTCATCGGTTTGACCGAGGTCAATGAAATTGGGTCACAAGGTAGTTCCCTGTTGGGGCTATCCAACACCGTTTACTGCTTGTCGCTATGTTGCGTGGTTCTCGAGATCTGAGGGGGGGGCCAAAATGGCCCCCCCATCAGACCGCGTTGCTCGGCAGACCCCATCTGGGCGCGGGTTAAGTGTCAGTTAATGTTTGGTGTAAGCTCAGCTGGAGGTTTGTTTCTAATTTGACAGAACGTGGCGCTCCTTTTTCTTTACAGACTCCAGCATAACCGTCGGTCGCATTCACCAGTGAAGAACATCCAACGCCATCCGATCGTGTGACATTATCCGGAATTGGAGGTGACAAAAAAATTCACAAGGGGAGGGACTGAAAATAAAAGTTGTGTTCGGATCAGTTTGTCTGGATCTGTCTGGTTGTTTGTGTGTGTGATCAAGCCTTTCAGCAACGGAAACCAAAAGGGTGGACCGATCGGGACGCGAATGGGACCTATCGTTCGACGCACCGATCCGCCGGAACGACGATGGTGCCGGTCCCAGATCAATCCGCTCACTGTGGCACGTGCCGGGCGAAACACTAAAAAATGTCACGGCTACAGGCCAATAGCATTTTTTGACAACAGATCCTCTGGCCCCAGTAAATTTTGAGCTAGTGGCATCAAATTTCGCACATTGGTAGAACTCGAGAAGTGCTACCAGTAAAACGCCTTTTGGGCGAAGAACGAGCGAGCGAGATAGTGAGCCCTGCACGTGCGCAAGGGCGAGAGTGTACTTCCAACGGGCTTGTGCAAAGCACCCTTTTAACCGGTCGCTAGCAGTGTGCCAAATTTGAACGCAATCGGCCCAGCCGATCCTGAGATCTGGAAACGGCATTCTGCACGTGCGCACGTGCAAACGGGGTCCAAAATGACTTCCGCACGGCACCCTACTAGCCGGTCCCTAATCGTGTACCAAATTTGAGCGCAATCGGCCCAGCCGTTCTCGAGATCTGGCAGCGCCCCCTGCACGTGCGCACGTGCAGTAGCACCCCGACCGCAACACATGGGAATGCATTACCGGTCGCTAGCGGTGTGCCAAATTTGAACACAATCGGCCCAGCCGTTCCTGAGATCTGGAAGCGGCATTCTGCACGTGCGCACGTGCAAACGGGGTCCAAAATGACTTTTGCACGGCACCCTTCTAACCTGTCCCCAACCGTGTACCAAATTTGAGCGCAATCGGCCCAGCCGTTCTCGAAATCTGGAAACGTCCCTTGCACGTGCGCACGTGCAGTAGCACCCTAACCGCAACACATGGGAATGCATTGCCTGGTGGGTGCCTACTGCCTACCTGTATGCCAAGTTTCAGCGAAATCGCCCCAGTAATTACCGAGTTACTGAAATGGGAAAAAATTTGGCACCTCTTCTTTTTGTATTTTGCACGTGCAGTGGGGGTCACTCACATAGATTTAGAGTATCCGACCTTTGGTAGAAGGGATGCAGCTACCCTATAAAAATTACCGCAAGACAATCGCCCAAGCCGCTGCTGAGATATGGGCCTCTCAAAATCACTACTTTTGCAAAACTGCTTGAACACCCTTGACTTTTCACGTGGCACGTGCCACGACGGTCACTGAGATGTATCAAAAGTAGTCAATTACGGGGTAGAAGGGATGGGGCTACCCAGCAAAAAAGACCGCAGGCCAATCGGTCCAGCGGTTGCTGAGATATAAGCCTCTCAAAAGCGTTACAGGCCGGGCCGGGACGGCCGCTCATACTGAGATTTTTCCATTATTACCAGTAAAACGCCTTTTGGGCGAAGAACGAGCGAGCGAGATAGTGAGCCCTGCACGCGCGGAAGGGCGAGAGGGTACTTCCAACGGGCTTGTGCAAAGCACTCTTCTAACCGGTTGCTAGCGGTGTGCCAAATTTGAACGCAATTGGCCCAGCCGTTTCTGAGATCTGGAAGCGGCATTCTGCACGTGCGCACGTGCAAACGGGGTCCAAACTGACTTTTGCACGGCACCCTACTAATTGGTCCCCAACCGTGTACCAAATTTGAGCGCAATCGGTCAAGCCGTTTTCGAGATCTGGAAACGCCCCCTGCACGTGCGCACGTGCAGTAGCACCCAAGCCGCAACACATGGGAATGCATTGCCTGGTGGGTGCCTACCTGTATGCCAAGTTTTAGCGAAATCGCCCCAGTAATTACCGAATTATTAAAATGGGAACAAATTTAACACCTCTTATTGTTGTATTTTGCACGTGCACTGGGGGTGACCCACATGCATCAAGAGTATCCTATTTTTGGTAGAAGGGATGCAGCTACCCTACAAAAAATTACCGCAAGACAATCGCCCAAGCGGCTTCTGAGATATCAGCCTCTCAAAATCACTACTTTTGCAAAACAGCTTGAACACCCTTGACTTTTCACGTGGCACGTGCCACGACGGTCACTGAGATGTATTAAAAGAAGTCAATTACGGGGTAGAAGGGATGGGGCTACCCAACAAAAAGACCGCAGGCCAATCGGTCCAGCGGTTGCTGAGATATAAGCCTCTCAAAAGCGTTACAGGCCGGGCCGGGCCGCTCATACTGAGATTTTTCCGTTATATTGAAAAGACTTCGCTTCGCTCGCTGCGCTCGCTCGCTCGTAACGAGCGAGCGAGCGCAGCGAACGAGCGAGTTCATACTGGGAAGTTCATTTTTCATTCAGTTCATTCAAGGGAAAATCCTGAGTATGAGCGGCCAGCCGGCCGGCCGGCCGGCCGTGGGGACGCTTTTCAAAAGCTAATATCTTAGGAACGGGACATCCGATTGACAAGCGGTCTTCTTTACCGAATGCAAAGCCCTATAAACCGAATGTCACTTGGACGTAAAAGTTATGTGGTGTGATGGCCACCATGCGTTCTTGCCAACCACCGCACGTGGCGCGTGGTAAAGTTGGACATTTTTGTACCCCCAAAATTGCAACCTCAATAACGGCACAACGGTTGGGCCGATTGAATTGAAACTCGGTACACAGTTAGGTCTCCATCAGATAATTCATCTGCATGTGTTACGGTTGGGGTGCTGCTGCACGTGCGCACGTGCAGGGGGCGTTTCCAGATCACGAGAACGGCTGGGCCGATTGCGCTCAAATTTGGTACAGGGTTGGGGACCGGTTGGTAGGGTGCCGTGCAAAAGTCATTTTGGACTCCGTTTGCACGTGCGCACGTGCAGAATGCCGCTTGCTTCCAGATCTCAGGAACGGCTGGGCCGATTGCGTTCAAATATTGCACACCGCTAGCGACCGGTTAGAAGGGTGCTTTGCACAAGCCCGTTGGAAGTACCCTCTCGCCCTTGCGCACGTGCAGGGCTCACTATCTCGCTCGCTCGTTCTTCGCCCAAAAGGCGTTTTACTGGTATTGAAAGGACTTCGCTTCGCTCGCTGCGCTCGCTCGCTCGTAATTACGGAGCGAGCGAAGCGAGCGTAGTCTTTCCTTAGATTAACGGAAATTTCTGAGTATGAGCGGCCGGCCGGCCGGCCGTGGTCACGCTTTTGCGAGGCTTATATCTCAGCAACCACTTGACCGATTTACATGCGGGGCATTCCACGTCAAATCAAACACCGAAATCCGTCACCCCCTTCGATTTTTCTGAAAATTTGTAGGCAGACTGGGCATGGTTCAAAACTGAGTTACGTATAATATTTTCGAAATTTGATAACGTATCGCTGAGATATAGGTCATCGAATATAGCGAAAAATGCCACACATCAATTTTTTAAATGGCTATATTTCTGGTTCCTTTTCTGGTATCAAAATGATATTAACAGGGTCTTATAGGCAATCGATAAAGCTTTGATTTTTGATTATAAAATTAAATTGAAGTGACCTTGAAATACATTTGACCTTGAATTAAAACAGAAAAATTTAAATAGCAAAAAACACGTCACCTTCGATTTGAGTAATTTTTACATATTATGTCCGTCACAATGTTCCTAACCATCTGTGAAAAAATTGGAGTGGGCCATTCATAACTTTCGCGGCAAACGCCGTTTTCATGCATCAACATCACGCAACCGCGCGTGACCTTGAAAGACAGAGTCAAGACATGCTTGCTTGTGCACACTTTCTGAAATGAATGATTGCTGATTAGTGATATCCCAAACTCTGCGAGAATGGAAATGCATAGTCATCGTAGTCAAGCATTCACGTTCCATAGCAAAAGTGTCTCAGGCAAACGGTATTTTGCGGTGAATTTTGAGCCGTGTGGAAATGCATCATGAAGTAAATTCAACGAAAACATTATCACGCAACGATATCTTCACGTTTTTTGATCTTCACTATACGAAAGAACATACATTTTTTAGTATGTATGGGGAATTTCTAGTTAATCCAATAATAAATATGGCAGTTAGAGGCCTGCTATTCAGTAACATGTCGCCGGCTGAGGCGAGCTCGGCCGATGCGGGAAACGCAGCAATCACAATTTTGTGTTTACACGTTCATATTTCAATTGTTTACCAACCGATTTTCAAAATTCTTTCACCATAAGATTGCCTGTACATTTTTTAGTCTTCTCACAAAATTTGACGTGAATCGAACGTAATCAGCGGTAGGGAGCGCGATGTAAAGACGGAACCGTTCCGTTCCGTCCCGGCACAGTCTACAATTCAGGCGGCGCGTAGCGGCCGGCGCCGGCTGCCGAGTCGCCGCGTCGCCGCGGCGACAGGATGTTCACTTTACACCGCTATTACTAGAACAGTTGTGAACCGATTTTCTTATTGCTTGCACGATGAGATGTCCAATTCAATTCTTGACAAGTAGCCATAATTAATTTCGCATTAATCTTATGAGATATTGGCGGAAAACAGGAGGGGTGGGCGAAATTCGCTCTTCCCCTTCACTGCGCGTGCTAACATACCTTTGCATATGTGCAATTTTCTTCGAAACTTATGAATGGCCCACTCTAATTTTTTCACAGGTTGTTAAGAATATGGTAGACAATAAAATATATGAAAATGAGCCAAATCGAAGGTGACGTGTTTTTTGCTATTTCAATATTTGTGCTTAAGAACAGAGTTAAGCAAATTTCAAGGTCATATATTTAAGTAGGTGCAATTCTCAACAAATGCTTGAGAAATTACCTAAACAGTAAGGTTTATTTCATTCAAATCAAACAAGTACAACCAAAGTTATAGGCGTTCAAAAATATAAAGATGCAACATTTTGTAAAAATTTGATGCCCTTTATTTAGAAGACCTGTGGTCAGAATGTGCAAAAAACATCAATGTAATGTCCGGGGCCACACAGGAACTCGCTCACAAATTTATAATGAAATCGCTGATGGTAAGGTGCAAAACAGCCGATTTTTGTTCGATTTGACGTGGAATGCCCCATGCGGTAATTTTTGTAGGGTAGCTTCATTCCTTCTAC